ACTGGCCATCAGTGTTTTATTTACATAGAGTAATATCCACAGCAAACTATAACTCCTTTATCATTAAAATTGTTATTTTATGTGCATGAGTATTTCGCCTGCACATATGTCTGTGTACCTCATGCATACATACCTACAGAGACCAAAAGAGGGCACTGGATTCCTAGAACTGAAGTCACCGAGGGTTGTGAGCCATCATGTGGGTGCTGGGAACTGAACCCAGGAAGAACAGCCAGTGCACTAAATATCTCTCCAGCACCCTAATTCCTTTTATTAAATAAAAAATTATAGTTCTAACATGTATGTGCAAATACCAGCTAATGTACATTTTTTCTAAATCATTTGGAATGAACAAGTATGAGGTTTTTGTTTGTTTCTGTGTTTTTTTGTTTGTTTGTTTGGTTTGGTTGGTTGGTTTTTCAAGACAGGTTTCTCTGTGTAGCCCTGGCTGTCCTAGAACTTGCTCTGTAGACCAGGCTGCCCTCAAAGCCAGAGATCCACCAGCCTCTGCCTCCAGAGTGCTGGGATTAAAGGTGTGTACCACCACTGCCTGGTGTTTCTATGGGGTTTTGCTGAAGTGTGTAAGGCTCACTGAGGGATATATTAGGCTAGGGGAAGGTTTTTAAACTGAAACAAAGATGACTCTTCTGAATTATCTGCTTTTATTATGCTAATTAAAATAGAACTCTAGAGCCCTTAGAACTTTGAGTACCGCTCAAACTACACACCGAGCTGATGCATGAGAATTTTAAATGTAATTACACAGTTGGTGAAGAATACCTACTCTGAAAAGCAATTAAACAGAGCTCTGTCATTATACTGTAAGTAGGAAACATAAGCAGGGCATAGTGGTGCACGCCTTTAATCCCAGCACTAGGAAGGCAGAGGCAGGCGGATCTCTGAGTTCAAGGCCTGCTATAGAGCAAGTTCCAGGACAGCCAGGGCTACATAGTGAGACACTGCCTCAAAAGAAAATAACAAAGAAGGAAACGTGCAGAAAATAGGAATAATCATCACTCTGAATTATGTCTTTTGGAATAGATTCTCTTAAAATTCTGACATTGCCTCCTTCCTTTCATATATAGGAGTTTCTTACACTTTAAACCTTGTTAACATTCAGATTCTGACTGAGGCCTGGCTTTCCCATCTACTGGCTCCCCTTCATAAAGGGTGTTTGCTTTGCCCTGCTGACCACAGCCTAAGGAGAGTCCCAGCTTGACTATGTTGTTGGATGCTGTGCCCCACTCTTCCTTGCCCTAACTTCTTCGCTGGCACCTTTATATCTCCATGGAAGCAAATGTCTTCATTGCAGACACCAGTTAGAATCCACAACTCCATAGGTAAATATGACCCTACGGCCTCAGGCCTTTCAAAGAGTGTTTCCTACTATGCCTGATGAGGATATTTACTACAAATAGGCTCAGGACAAAGAAGTGATTCTACTGAGGAGTAAATCAAGCCAAAATTTACAACAATGAACAATTCAAGTTCTTTGGTTCTAGAATAGAATTTCCAGAACTCTTTTGTAATTACATTTTACTTATGCTAATAATAATGATTTATATGTTGTGATTACACACCAACTAATAGTGTTGATGAGGAGAAGATATGGGTAGTGAGATATGTCTGAAAGGACTAGAAAGTACAGGAGTGAGGTTTAGGAACAGTATTTTTATATGGATGATACATCTCTTGAAGGTTTGTTTCTCAAGTCCTTATGTAATTCAAAGGAATATTCCACTATCTCCTCCTACCTCCCTGCTCAATAGAACATTTAAAATGTTTTTCAGAAACGTGTGTGTGTGTGTGTGTGTGTGTGTGTGTGTGTGTGTGCAAATAGCTACCACTTACTGAACACAAACTATGCATCCATTTTTGAACTAAAAGCTTTTATGTAATGACTTATTAAGTTCTTAAAACATACCTGTTAGATGGATGCCATTATGCTAACAAGAGAAAAATACAGCCCACTGAGGGACATCTCAAATGAGAAAACTTTTGAAAACATTTAGCTCTCAAAAGAGATTTTTAATTAATCATTTTTTATGTGTATGGGTTTTTTGCCTGCGTGTATATCTGCACACCACATGTGTGCAATACCCGTGGAGGCAGAAGAGGTTGTTGGATCCCTTGGAACTGGAGTTAGAGATGGTTGTGAGCTGCCATGTAAGTGCTGGGAACCAAACGTGGGTCCTCTGCAAGAGTAGCCAGGGCTCTTAACCACCAAGCTGTCTCCAGCCCCACAAAGAGATTTTATTAACAGCTCTAACATATGGTTCATTCAATGAATAAATGAAATCTAACTTGTAAATAGGAATATTTAGGGTGATTATTCATTTTATGAAAAGAACAGCAGTAATTGGTCTCCTCTAAGGGGTTAGTATATATAGCTGGTTTTCTGTTGGAATTACACATACTTAACACAGTAACACTTGTCCAGGAAACTTGTAAAATGATGCATAGCTATAACACTGCCAGCTTGACATTGGTTTTTATTACTTAAGATAAGAATTTAATGTGAGATTTCCCTAACTGACCTGATTATAAGTATCATTTGTGCCAGGTGATGGTGGCACATGCCTTTAATTCCAGCACTTGGGAGTCAGAAGCAGGCCAGCCTGGTCTACACAGCAAGTTCTAGGACATCCAGGGCTACACAGAGAAACCCTGTCTCTAACCTCCCCCCCAAAAAAAATCATTTGACATGTTGATTTAATCTACAGGATTCCCTAATCCCTCCACTGGAGGGAATCACTAGATCTCAGGTAAGGTCCATGAATTTGTATATTTAATATACTACACATGCTTTTTATGATAATGCAAATTTGAGAAACTTAGTCTACTGATTAAACCTAGGCTTCATTTCATGACCTGCACAGTCTGGCATTGTTACAGTCTAAACCTCTACAGCATTAACATATGTTAAAAAAACATTGATTCACTATTCTCCAAACAGATACTTTCCTCCTTGGATCTTTGCTTAGACTGTTACCTCTTTCTAGAATATCCATTTCTTATATTTTCCCTCAACAAAGTACCACCCATTTTTTTTGAGTCAAGTTTTAACTTCTCTCTGAAGTCCTCCTTAACTCCATAGCCAAGACTTTGATTACAGTGTGGTCCCTGGACCTTCAGCACAGCGCCTTTAGGGAATTGGTTGGAAATGTAAACCACTTAGGAACACTCCAGACCTAAGTCAGAAACTCTGTGTATGTCACAGAGCATCCTGTCTACAAACAATCCCTCCAAGTGACTGCAATGCACTGCTCCAGTGCACTCTGTATGCTCCCTCTATGGGCACACTGCACCTTATTTTCCTTTATTTTATTGTCCTTTGCAGATACTGCATTGCATGTAAGCTGAAGGTGATGCAACCCCACAACAGTTCAGATGATTGTTAGCATTTTTAGCAACAGAGTATTTTTAAATTAAGATACCCACACTGCTTTTAAAGATATTAATGCTATTGCATACATAATAGGCTACAACATAGTATAAACATAACTTTTATACTCACCAGGAAACCAAAAAATTAATACAACTTGCTTCACTGTGAGATTCACTTTATGCTAGAGGTCTGAGGCATGCCTGCACTTTATTACATCTCTCACTGTCTCTACCAGTGTGTAAACTCTGTAAGAACAGAAACAGTGGCCTCATCCTTTGCAGGACCAAATACAGTGCTTTTCACTTAACAGATCACACGGAAATGAATTGTTATTTCTTTAGTACCAAAGAAGAAGATAAACATGTTTTAGTGTGTCCATTTTTCATTTTAATAGATCTGAAGAATCTTTAAAGGTTGTGTATGATGGGTTCAGATACAGAGACACCAATCATAAAGGCAGGCAGACTTCCTTAACAGAAGACAGACTTCTTAGCTTTGTTCTAGGCTTTTGAGGGAGGTGTAGTACATATTCCTAATAATGTTTGTTAGTAGTGACAATAATCATTTCACTAACAAGCTCCTCTTCTTTCCTTCTCTGGCCTCTAAATCTTTATGCACAGAGACAAATCATTGTTCTAAAATTTAAGTGGTTCCCACTTAACCTATTATTTATACAGTAAATTAGAAACTAGCCTAAATTCTTACTTCTCAATAAATACGCGTGAGATGAGACTTACGGTAAAAAATAGAAACTATCTTTTGCTATAGTAAAGGCAGAATAACAGTTTTTAGATCTCATGGCTCTGCAAAGTCAGGGAAACACGGCTGGAGAGAGTGGCGGCTAAGAGTGCCTCCTGTTCTTGGGAGAACCCAGGCTCAGTCCCCAGCCCCTACATGACTGCTCACAACCACCCACCTGTAACTCCAGTTCCAGGGGTCCGACACATTCCTCTGGCCTCTGTGAGCTCCTGCACTGACAAGGTACACATAAACTCATGTAGGATCATATATAGACACATAAATAAATAAAATACCGCAAAAAAGAAAAGCAAGGTAAATAAAACAATAATTCATACCAATTAATATGTCATTTATTACTGCTCAAAGTGAAATAACATCTTCAAAAGCTACTGGGTTCTTGAAAACCCAGAAGTGAGAACAACAGAACAGAGCACAGGAGACCGTGTGAATGAGGAAGCTGCAGATTTACGGGCAGCATTATTTTGCTTTCTCAGATACCTTTCTTAAGAAAATAAAAAAAATCTTAGTTTCTATTAAAATTGGTTTAATAACAAATTACTTATAATAACTTAATTATCAGTTTGCTGAAGCGAAACTTTCTTCAAGAAGTTACAAGAGAAATAAAAATGTATCAGTTCATATATTTGTTGTAAGAAAGTCAAGAAGTGAATCGAATTTGAGAAAAATTCTGAATGATTATCAATTATTTTTAAAAACAAAAAGCATTTGGGAGGATTAGATATGTTTATACTTTGCTCATTAGCAAAATAATTGTTTCTTTTTTTCTTTCTTTTCTTTTTTTAGAAAATGCCATTAAATATTCCCAGAAGAGCCTTCCTTTCTTCAGCTGCATCATCAGGATAATACTTACTGGAGGAAAAAGCAAATGAAAAAGTGATTTTTTTTTTTTTTTGTAAACTAGCTTATTTTAAAACACAGAGTAAATAATGTAACATTACAGTGTAGATAAACTTGAAGATTACTGTGAGGCTAATACAAAAAACACACTTAGTATGAAAACCCTGTCTGTGGGTAGTTTACAAGAGACTGTAAACTGATTATTTCTTTAAATATGTTGGAAGTAATGCTACTTAATAAAAAGCATGAGCAGGTTTCTAAGCTTGGACTCTTAAAGGAAAGAAAAACTGCTGCAGAGGTCCCCTCTTCAAAATGGCCAGCAGTTAGGTAACAAAGAGAGACACATGGATTTCCCTGGGAAGGGGAAATGGATGAGATCTCCTGGGTAAACTTGGGTGGTGGTGGGGGACATGAGGGAATGGTCCACTTGGGGTAGGACGAAGGAGGAGAGCAATAAAAGAGGTATCTTGATAGAGGGAGCTATTATGGGGTTAGGGAGAAACCTGGTGCCAGAGAAAATCCCAGGAATCCACAAGGATGACCCCAGCTAAGACTTCTAGCAACAGTGGAGAAGGTGCCTGAACTGCCCTTCTCCTGTTATCAGATTGCTGACTACCCTCCATCCAGTAACTGCTGGAAGCAGATGCAGAGATCCACGGCCAAACACTGAGCTGAGCTCCTGGAACCCAGTCGAAGAGAGGAAGGAGTGATCACATGAGCAAGAGGGGTCAAGGTCATGATGGGGAAACCACAGAGAGCTGACCTGAGCTAGTGGGAGCCCATGGACTCTGGACTGACAGCCGGGGAACTTGTATGGGACGACGTAGGCCCTCTGCATGTGTTTGACAGTTGTGTGGCTTGGTCTGTTTGTGGGGCTCCTAGCAGTGCGATCAGGACCTGTCCCTGGCACACAAGCTGGCTTTTTGGAACCTATCTGCCAAGCAGGGATGCCTTGCCCAGCCTTGACGCAGGGGGAGGAGCTTGGTCCTGCTTCAACATGATATGACATGCTCTGTTGACTCCCATGGGAGGCCTGCTCCTTTCTGAACTGAGGACGAGTGTATGGGGGGAATAGAAAGGAGGTGGAGGTTGGGAATGGGAAGAGAGGAGGTTGGTATGTAAAATAAATGAAAAATTTAATTAAAAAAAAATAGCCAGCAGTGAAGGCACTGGTTAGATTTATTACGACTGTGACACTGAACCTGTTGAACTGTGAAATAGCTGAACTTCTGTAAGTTAGCTGATGTCATTTGTATTTCTCCAATGACATTACAGCTTATACTGTCAATAAAACATACTGCACTCAAATGAGTAAAAGCAGTTGATAAAAACTCAGTGTTTTACAGTTAATAGCATTAAACTATAGGTTTTAAAAATTAGTCTATTTGCTCTTCATGGCTCTAAGAATCTCAGTTTTCAGGAGATCTAAAATTGCCATGCTTTTAGTAAGTAAAAGGTGTCTTTGATCTTTAAAACGAACAAAGAAAGGTCTGGAGAAGTATCTCAGTGGTTAAGAACATGCACTACTTTTCCAAAAGACCTGCATTCAGTGCCATCACCCACACCAGACAGTTCACAACCGCCTGTAACCCCAGCCCCAGAAGGACCCAACTCCTGCACTCACTTGCAAACACCCCACAACACACACACACAAATCTTTAAAATGAACCAAAAAAGAATGTGAATTTCTTTATAAAAATTTTTGCTCATAAAGCCTTGAAATGTTCTTACCTGAGATCAATTTCCTTTTTAGAGTCACTGTTTCCAATAAAAATATCCACTTCCTTAAAATTGAGGGACTGTTGTGTTTTCTTAGAGTGGGTAAAGCATACCCTCTCAATCACTGGTGAGAGAGTTGGCTGTTTTCTTTCTTGTAAATTGACCTATGTTTTAATGTAAAAAACAGCAACCACTAAAAGTTAAGTATTCAAGCAAAATTTAAAATAAAAACAAAAAGTACATGGCTTACAAGATTTTCGTTTCCAGTTTGTTGAGGTAACTCTGCCACAAGAGATGGACCAAACTTGGACATGGCACAATCTGATGGATAAATATCTGGCTTTTCATGTGATGAAACAAAACTAAAAATTAAAATAAATTATTTATGAAATATGAAAAACAAACTCTTCTACATTAATACTCTATAGAGAATATTAAGCTTATATTTATTACACAAAAGTTGACATTGTTTCCTATACTCTTTGAGAACTTGGTATATTTTCTTTCTTCCTTCTCTTCCTCCTCCTCGTTGTTCTCTTTGAAACAGGGTCTCACTATGTAGCCCTGGCTGTCCTGGAACTCACTATGTAGACCAGGCTGGCCTCAACTCACAGAGGTGTGCTAGGACCACACCTGGCCGTTTTCTTTCCTTAAGAACAAATTCAATTTGCATATTCAACATTAGTAGGAGTCCTATTTTAATAAGTAATCACTCAACAATTTTAGGATTCAATGTTATGCTTAATTTTCTATGACCTAGAAACCTGTAAATCTTTTCTAAACTCCATTGCTTAACCTTGATCCTCCTTTCTGTATTCTGGATTCACATAATTACCATCTTCCTTCATACAACTATGTACTAGAATTCACAACATTTATTAAATTCATAGATTAGAATACATTTATTATTTACTATTATATGCCATATATTAGCTAGAAGCTAGATACAAAGTGGTAAACAAGCCAAAAGTGAGGTATTATCTAACACAGAAATAGACCATATTCGAAAATAAAAGTCACAGCTGGAAAAATAGTTTAGTTGATAAAGTGCTTGGATTGTAAGCACTTAGACCTGAGTTTGAGCTCTAGAACCCTGTTAAAAACAGATCAGTGTCATGGTGCATGCTTGTAACCGTGTTGGGGAGATGGAGATAGGTGGATTATGGGAGCCAGCCTAGCCTACTTGGAGAGATCCAGACCAGTGAGATATCCTGTCTCAAAAACAAAACATAAAACAATAAAAATTCAAAAAAGGTGGGTGGTGGTGGTGGTGGTGGTGGTGGTGGTGGTGGTGGTGGTGGTGGTGGTGGTGGTGGTGCACGCCTTTAATCCCAGTACTTGTGAGGCAGAGGCAGGCGGATCCCTGAGTTCAAGGTCAGACTGTCTATAGAACGAGTTCCAGGACAGCCAGGACTACAAATCTGCCTTGAATCCCCTCCCCTCAAAAAACCCCCAAACAAAACAGACCAGAGAGATGGTTCAACATTGAAGCGTGAAGGCTGCACAGTCCCAAGGACTGGAGTTACAATCCCAGCACCCACAGAACAAGCCAGGTGTCCCTCCACACCTGACTCCAGCTCTGAGCAGGGCAGTTGTAGAAGGCTCACAGGTGCTTGCTGACTCCCAGTCTAGCCAAGAAAACATGAGCCTCAGGCTCAGGGAGAGACGCGCTTCAAAGAAATAGATGGAGAATGATAGAGGAGGATACCCAATGCCCTCTTCTGGCCTGTATGTGCTTAACATATTCCTTCCCTACTTGTGCATATATACTCACATAGATACACAGAAATAAATAAATAAAAACAAACAAACAAATAGAATTATATTAATAATAAAATGATGTACTGCACCGAGGTATGAGACCCAAGATTGTCCTTTGGCTTCCACAGACACACACATACAATGTGTACAAGCATCTGCACACATACATACATTATATGTGTTTATATAGTTATATACTCAATTATAGGTTCTGAAGCTTGTGAGAAAATTGTCTGAGTAATATCATGGGAAACAGCAGTGTGGAAACATATACCTAATTTTGAAAGATGGTCATCCATGCCTTGCTGAGTGGGCGACAATTAAGATGTCATTTAAAGACTAAAATTGATAGCCATGTAAAGAGCAATGAACAGTGCATACAGTAGGAAAAGTCATATAAGCTGACTGTATCTTTGTAGTTTTGATTAACAAGTATTATGTACATAGAAAAGAACAAAGAGAGTGAAGGGGGCATTAGAGGAAAAGCAAGCAGCCTTGCATCCCAGGTCCTCAGCTCTCATGGGCCTTCTCCCCTGGAGCAACTTCTGATACCGTTTATCACAGGCTTCTTGTGAGCACACATTTTAAACCATTTATCTTCTAAATTATTCCAAAATTATTTGTAGCTTTTTTTTTCTTAATGTGTGGGGCAGAAAACAGTTTTCATGCTGTTTTTTTTCTTCTATTTCTTTTGCTATTTCTATCTGCTTATTTTATCAGACTCAAACTTAGAATCAATAAATGAAAGGGATAAAGGACAACTTTTTAAAGGTGTTAGATAGTCTGGGAGATCCAAACCCAGAGCATCTTAGGGAGGATAAGCTCCCAGCTCGTGGAGCAGTCTTGGCAGACTTGTGAGAGACTCGCTGGTGTGAGAGCACTGGTCTAAGGCCCCAGTGGCAGAAAAACGGAACAGCATGTAAACAAAGCCAACATCTGCAGGTCTCTGGAACCAATGGTCCTGTAGTACTGATGCTCATAATCAGTAAGTGATTATTTATATAAAATACTGAACCCTAAATAAAGGGCTGTCAGCATTTATTGTCTGTTGGCCAAAATTCCTCTCCTGTCTTGATTTCTAATCAAGTGCAGTATTTCCAAATGCACTTTGCACTTTGACAAAACTTTTGAATTGACCTTTTCTGAGATGATTTTTTTCTTTTCCAAATCTATGGTTCCTGTATTCTCAGATAATATTTCCATATAACTAGCTGCAATGTATTCTTTCCTCACCTCCATTATCATATTCTATTAATTATCAAACTGAATGGACTTTATCGCTGAGATTTTAAAACTCTCATCTTTAAAATTAATTTTTTACATTTACTTTGTGTGTGTGTGTGTGTGTGTGTGTGTGTACACACGTAGGCACAGGTATGGAGGTCAAAGGACAAGTTGTCGAAGTTGTCTCTGTCCTTCCAATATTCGGATTTTGAAGGTCAAGCTCAGGTCATCTGGCTTGGTGACAAATACTTACTCAGTCAACCATCTCACAGGAACATCTCTGAGATGTGTGAAAAGTCCAACTCTAATCTCTTTCCCCATCATCTCTGCCCAGGTTAGGTCTCACCATGTTCTGTCTTTCTTATTGGCAACAATACTTCTGATGGTCCTATCCTCTATGATTCACTCTTCATCTGCTGCCGGAATAATTCTTTTATGATTAAATTGAATGTCTGTATCATCTGTCATGGAGGGGAACCACTGGAGACTCCTAAGCTAACTCTAGCCTATAGAGATCCCTGTTGTACTTTGATGGAGGTGATGTCAAGTACACTAATTTCTTTGAACTAGATGCCAAAAGTTTAAAATTATGAAATACCACATAAATGTTACATTCCTAACTTTCCTTGGAAAATCACAATGTCTGCCAACACTAAACCTGTATTTCATATAGCAATAACTAGCTGGAGCTTAGTGTGGTTTCCCTTTTTTTTTTTTTTTTTTAAGATTTTTATTTATTTATTACGTATACAGTGTTCTGTCTGCAGTCAGAAGAGGGCACCGGATCTCATTACAGATGGTTGTGAGCCACCATGTGGTTGCTGGGAATTGAACTCAGGACCTCTGGAAGAGCAGCTAGTGCTCTTAACTGCTGAGCCATCTCTCCAGCCCATGGTTTCCCTTTATGGGACATTTCACAATTAGTCTTGGTCCCTGAATCCTGACGGCCTTGAGTTTGTGAATCTTGTCCTCTTAGATGTGGTACTGACTGCGGCATTCAAGACCCTTACACTCAGACTCAGCAATTTCATCCTTACTCTGCAGCCACACAAAACAGACCTCAATGATCCTTGTGCATGGCCTGCCCTTTTAAGCCCTATGTCCTTTTGTTTAAAACAATTTAAACCTAGAGAGAACGTCTATTTGCCTCTTTCTCACTTGTTTTAGAATATGAAGTTCCTGGACTCCACCCCAGAGACCATGACTGCTTAGGTCTGACGTGGGCCAAGAACTCATCGTCTTTAGTAAGCACTGCGGATGGTCTTGATGAAAGTGGTCTAACAGCAGCACTTGGAGAGACCTCTAATGTCAGCAGAGGTTAGGTTGGTTGACGCAGTAATGCTTCTCTGACAGCTAGAGAGTTAAACCCAATTTCCAATTACGTTTCAAGAGAATGCAAAGTTCTAAGATTTATAGACCGAAGTTCTGAAGCTTGCCTGTTTGAGATTTCTCTTTGGAATTTGCTGCTTGACTTCTGGAAGGGTAGCTTACTTCCCCTGGGACTTGAACGACAAGTGTCTCCAAATCCTATGAGAAGAGAGAACATTTTGAAATGAAATGCTAGTTGACAGTTAATGGAAGTGTGGTACAAGTTTTACAAGGGATCTCTCAAGCTAGGACTAGTTAAGAAAGACATGGGAGGGCTGCGGAGGTCAGTGGGTGAAATGCTTTCTATGCAGGAATGAGGACTGCATTCAGCTTTCCTAGAACTCAGAAATCGGGACATGAGCTCACAATCCAGTTGGTGAAGCCATAACAAAGAAAAAAAGAAAAGGATGTCCTAGTTTGCTTTTGATTGCTGTGATGAAACATCGAAAGCAACCTGGAGAGGAAAGGGTTTATTTTAACTTACAGCTTATCATCATGAGGACATCCGGGCAGGAACCTGGGGGTGGGGACTGAAGCACAGACCATGGAGGAGTGCTGCTTACTGGGTTGCTGCCTACGACTTATTCGGTTGGCATTCGCCTTCACAGGGATGGTACTGCCCACAGGATGGCCCGCCCACATCAGTCATTGAGAAAACGCCCCCACAGACTTGTCCAAAGACTAATCCGATGGAAGCTTTTTCTCAACTGAGGATCCCTCTTCCTGGATGACTCTAGTCTGTGTAAAGTTGACAAAAACTAACCAACACAATGGCTAATTCTCAATAATCAAAACTGATTTACAGAGAGAATATAAGGGCCAAAAGCTAAGAAAATAAAACTATGAAACACATAAGTTAGTTTATCAGCCACTGTATTTAAAGGTCTTAAAGTCAATACTATTTACTTATTTTTTAAAATTCAAGTGTATGACCAAATTGAAACTTATTCAGTATTCTCAATGCTCCACATATAATTGTCTTAAATACTCTACACATGGAGAAAGAGGTATTTACTGAAAATGGTTTTCCCAGTGATGACGCTGTGTCTTCACAAGATTAGGTCACCTCAAAGGGTCAGCATACATCAACTTCTAGCTAGCAGGACTCATCAACAATCAAGTTAGAAATTAGCAGTTGTTCAGTGATAGAAGAAATATGCCCAGGGATCCCACATCATAGAGCTCCAGGCCTATTCTGTGCAGGTGATCAAGTTCTGATCTTTCTGAGAAAAGCTTGAGCTCTTTAGGATTCCAAGCCAACAGCATTTGAACTTCTCACTGGTTCTTGTAGTTGTTGCTTTGTGTTATGACTGTTTAGACAGTCTGAGGCAGAGGACATCAAGAAGCAACTGTGGAGGAAGATGCTCTGTTGGTTGAGGAACTGGTTTCTTCTGTCTGGCCATATGGGAAGAGTATCACCACTTTTTCCTCTAGTCAAATAACTGCTAAGAGTTTCAACTATCTGTTTAGTAAATCAGAACAAGTTTGTCTGTAACCCAAATATGTAAGTCTATGATTTTGGGTTTATTTATGGGTTAAACACACCTTCTAATAAAGCACTAGCCCTTTTTACTTGTTTGTTGATACCTGAAAAGTGAGCATTTCCACTAGAAATAAAGGTTATTTTCTTGCAAGCAGATGAATACTCTTAAAAACATAGTACTTTTTTATTTCACAAAGCAGTAGACCCCCTGTGAACTCAGAAGGGAGGCCAGGGTACTCTGTTTTGTGAGGGACAACTTAATAAACATAAGGATTTAAACAGGACCTTTCAGAAGAGACAGGAGGGGTAGAGAGATGACTCAGTGGTCAAGAGCACTGGCTGCTCCTCCAGGAGACCTGGGTTTTAGTTTTGATAAAAATTCTAATCTTACTTAAACAAATACATACAAAAAGACAAAAAAAGCAGTCTCAGGGACCAAAACAAAAATATCCAAAAAATTCCTAATGAATTTATGCAAAAACAGTTTTACCTGATATAGCTGTCTTCTCAGCATCAGATGAAAAACTCATAACTTCTATTAAGCTTTCATCATCAAAGTCATCCCAAACTTCATTTCCCAACTCGAAGTTCACATCCAAAACTTCAGAAGACTTGTTTTCATCTGCAACACTGTGATTTTCAGATGTGTTAGTGTGTCTGTTGAACATCATTGTTTGAGGAGTCTTTTCATTTGAAGTTGTGCAAGAGTTCCATCCAAGAAAATCTGTCACACGTGTACAAGAGTGTAGGCACTTGTTAAACCACATAAGCATTATTTTGAACTGATATATAACACATCTTTCAACTGCCATGCAGAGATCTTGATCCCCAATTTTCAAGAACACATGTTGTCAAGCACTGGTGGATGTTTTCTCCAGACAATTCTATTTACTGGATCACATGGCTGAGAGATCCACTAAACTTTATTTTCAATGGATTAATTTTTATCATTTTTACTATTGTGTATGTGTGTGTGTGTGTGTGTGTGTGTGTGTGTGTGTGTGTGTGTGACATGTGCATGAGGGTGCGCACGCCACAGAACATGGGTGGAGGGCAGAATACAACTTGAGGAGTCAGTTTTCTCCTTCCACCTGTACGCGGATCCTGGGGATTGAACTCAGGTCTCTAGACTTGCCACCACAAGCTCCTGTACCCATTGAGCAACCTTGCCAGTCCCATCATTTTAATTGATTTTAATTCCCAGAGTAGACAACTTTGCAGCACCACACTCTACAGTATTTTCCTATACAGAAAAATATTAAGAACACCAGTAGTAGTAACACACAGTAGATTAAGAAGTTTTAGATTTTCAGCACTGTCATCTTTGTTTTTAACATAATTCATTTGACTGGAATTTATTTATCATAAAATGTTTAGTATCAAATTTATTAGTACTTTAACAGTGTTTGAAGGATTTCTGACACTTTAACAAGAACTTCTCGTAAGGCAGTGAAGTCTTAGTTAATTTCACTTTAAATATCCTGTCCTCTTCCTCATCTGTTCACACCTGTGTCTTCTGTCAGCTGTGCCCACAATTACAGTCACATTATTACACTTTTGTATGTTGACACACACAGTGTGGTATGCACTGAAGACAGAAATAGTATTCAATGCCATGGAAATGCAGTGAAAAGAACAACTGGAGCAAAAGACTCCTTTAAGATTAAAAATGTGTGAAAGAACAGTGGTAGCTCCCTCAGGCTGTGGAGCAGGCACACTATTCTATCCAGGAGAACAGCACAGTAGAGGTGAGGAGCAGTGTGAGCAGAGAGGGCAGGAGCTAGGAGTCTTCAGAATTCAGAGCGCAAAGCAAGAGAAAGAAGGACCCATTGGAACTGCACAGGCAGGCATGTATCAGATCATGCCGAAAGTAATTTGTCACGATAAGTATTTTCTCTTCTTATCAGCACAGATGACTACTGAAGATGCTTCTTCGAGAAGGTCAGGCGCCTGTTTGATCACTTGGGATATTTATGGATCAGAGGATAATGAGACTGAAGCAGGGGAAATGTAAGAAAGTTATCAAAATAAGGAGAGGAAATGAGCATTTAAGCCTAAGTATCAGTTAAAAATCGTAGATGAAGAAACAAATAGAGGAGTGGTGTAGGACACAAAACATTAGGTCTTCGTGCTCAGCTACATGTAGAGTAAGAGGTTAGAATCCTCCTGTCCCTGCCTTTGCAGCACAGAAGAGTCATGCACTGAGCCGAGGAAAGAGAAGGGATGGAATGCTGCACAAAGACCAGAGCTCAGGTGCAGGAACGGCTAACTTTCTGGCAGCTATACCCAAGAGGTGGTTATAGGAGTGGGTTGTACTTAGAAAAAGACAGACTTAGCAACCACGGAGAGCTAACTGGTGAGTGAAGATATGGCTTAGGAGGTAATGTGTAGAAGTTTTGCAGTAAAAAGAATAATGAGGGAGGAAGGAGGAGATAGGAACAGTAAGCAGAGGAGGGAATGAGGTGAGGAGGGAGACAGACAGGAAAAGAACAGATGGATTCATGTGGAACATCAGCAAGAAGAAAAGCCCAACAAGAGTCTGAGAAGTAATCAATAGGATGATTGAACTGGATCCAAAGGAGAGACTTCCCAGAGGAAGGAACAGAAGCGTCAGATCCTCCATAGAAGACTTCACAGAATTGAATACCTTAGTCACTAAATGCCCAAGGAAGAACAGCTTCAAAGTAATGATGAAGAGCCCAAATTTTAATGAGTGAGTAGTAACCAAGATGGAAGAAATAAGTATGAATCTCTCAGTACTTTTTAGTTTGACAAGAAAGTAAGATATAAATATAGAGAAGATCACAGGATGATGATGAGGATGATGAGGATGATGATCTTTCTGGCTTGCTGAACTTTCTATCAGTAGAAGCACTCTTCCTTTCCTTTGGGGAAAACATGCCTCTGTCATTTAGATAATCCTGATGAGGCCATTGACCATGATACTCTGCTTTCTTGGGGCCAAAGGGACAGAATGACCATCCCCAGCAATAGAGATTTATCCAGGATAAATACATTACTGAAAATAGACTAGTTCGAATGAATTCACATCTGTACAACTACAAGTGAAAACTACCTTTCTCTAGTGAGATTATTAAACTGGAAAGATGAAAATTTGGGAGGGCTTGCCATGTGAGAAAGCCTATTTAATAAGTGGAGCAAATTAACAATAAACATAGCTAAAAGACTGAGAGAAAGCCAGAGATATAAGATCATCTGAGTGCCTGGAGCTAGCAAGATTAAAGCTAGATGCCTACTTGGACTTCCAGTTTATAGGAAGATAACCAGTTATCTCTTTTGTGCATAAGTCCCTTTCAAATCACTTATTATCACAAAAGGTCAAGATTAGCTAGATGGAAACTTGTAGCAGCTGAAGAAAGAAAAGACTTAAGCATATTTATATGCTAAAAAGAAAAAGACAATAGAAAGCAGATAGTGTGGGGTGCACACCTGTAATTCAGCATTGGGAGGCAGAGGCAAATTAGAAGGTAGTATGGCCATCATAGTGAGTTCAATGCCAGACAGAGGTCTATGGAGAGACCTTATCTCCAAAAATAAACCAAAACCAAAAAGTAGACAATGAAAATATTGAATAGAGGAGCGAATAACTGGCCTTCTAAATTCCCAGAGAAAGCAAGATTAGAAAGAATTCACATTAAGCCTTGAATAGAAGAAAAAAATAATTCTTTTAAGACAATAGAGGGTTAATGATAGATGCAAAGTCAAAGAAATACATCAGTTGGGTGAGCTGGGATGAGATAGCAGAAAGTTGAAAGAGTTCATACACTATAAGTTCAACACTCAATTTTCTACTGATAACTAAAAGTCAATTTCATTTTCTAGAAATGGCATTGGACTGGGAATCAGGAGATATGGAATCTATTTCTGGCCTGCCATTAATTAGGTATGTGATTTTGGGCGAGTCATTTAATCTCTTAGAATCTTGGCTTCCTTTACTGTAAAATGAGAAACTGCACAAAGGTCCCTTCCAAATTAAATTTTATGATTCAAAATGCTTTCTCATATAATTTCTAATACTTTTTTCTTTTTCTCTTCGTGAAACTGGAATACAGATAATAAAATTGCCATGTTTTTCTTACAAGTCTCAACACTTAAAATGTTTTGACAATAAAGACTAATGTGTGGAAACTATAATAAACATACTTAACTGCCATCCCTGAGAACAGCAAATATTACTTTATGAGCTTTATAAGCACTATCTCATTTAATACCAAAATGTCTGAAATAATCAGGTAGGAGAGTTGAGGTAAAGTCTGTAAGTATACTATGAGGGTGACAGTGAATGGCAGAGTTAGAATATGGACCTCCAAAGACCGTTTTAGATCTTGTCAGCTTCACTACTACATAGACGGTCCTTCCTGACAAAGAAAGAGACAGAGGGAGCCTAAGAGCGGGAGGAAGACCAGGTGGCTCATTCAGTCAAACGAGAACTTTGGGTTAAAGTAGCTAGATGAGGCTTTTACACCACACTACAAATTAGAGTTTGGGTAATGAGTAGAAAAAATGGGAAACAACAAACATACAAGAAGCAATCTGGGGGAAGTGTAAGCTGTGCATCGGAGGAGTAGAGACTAGTGCAGCAGCATAAGAACAACAAGTCAGAGGGCCGTGGGCTTAAAAAAGATAAAATAAAAAGATCAAAACATCAGCTGCCTGTTTTATAATGATTAGTTTTGATAAATTTTCTGATTGTCCAAGTGAGATTTGGAAACGTCCCTGATCTCATCTCGGGCCTAATGGATGTCATGATGTCATAAGAGTTAGCAGATCCTCTTAATTATATATCTAGTTATTTATCTAGTTATTTATTTTGAAATGTTGTGATCGAGCCTAGGATGTCATGAGTGCTAGTCAAGCACTGTACCACTAAGCTGCATACACAGCTACTAGCGTCTTAAATTGTGACCAAAGGAAACATGAAGTAACATAATGAAGTCAATGCCAAATGTGAAAGTGTTTTCAGGAGACTCCAAAGCTCATCATTTCATTTACATTTACATACAGCCACTTGAACAAATGACTCACAGGTTAGGGCTATTTCTCATATTTCAATATAACGTGCTATTAATAGAATGAAGTAGGGAAATAACTAATAATATAGGTATTCAAAAATAGTGCTGAAGAATTCATATGTATTACTTCATTTTTAATGGCAAGACACAGATAAAAGCAAATCTAGATTACAAAATTTCTATGCCTTTCACAGTTTATCATCTCATTGTATCTAGAAATTGTAAGAATCATAGATTTAAGAATGGAAGAAATACTAGTAATCAGCCATTTTGATACTTTCATTTTATTTATTTATTTATTCATTCATTCATTCATTTATACTTTGTTTTTGTTTTGTTTTGAGACAGGGTTTCTTTGTGTAGCCCTGGCTGTCCTTGACCTCACTGTGTAGACCAGACTGCCCTTGAACTTAAGAGATCCACCTCCCTTTGCCCACTGAGTGCGGGGAATAAAGGCATACACCACCACTTCCTGGCATAATACTTTATTTTAATATTTTTTACATTTATTTGTTTGTGCGTGCATGTGTGTGTGTGTGTGTGTGTGTGTGTGTGCGCGCGCGCGTGCGCACGCGCACACGCGAGAGTGTGTGTGATTGTACACATGCCATAGTGTGTACGTGGAGATCAAAGGACAACATGCAGGAGTGAAATCTCCCCTTCCACCAAGTGAGCTCTGGAGAACAGGTCCTCAGGAGCAAGCACTTTGACCCACCCAGCCATCTCACGGGCTCCTAATACTCTCCTTTTAAAGATGAAACAAAGACCCCAAAAGGTTAAATAATTTCCCCAAGGTCACACAACTATTTTATGAAACTGGACTAATTTTAAAGTCATTATTTAAATTTCTAAAAAGATATAAAAGTAATAAGTCATCATTTTAATACTTTGTTCACACGAAGATTTCTAATTCTCCTAGTTCTTCCTCATATTGTTGTTTAATAAAATAGTCAACACTTTGTAGGAAAGATACTTAAAAAAAAACTTTGACACATAAGACAATTTTAAATAACCTAAGGATCTGAAATTGGCTCAAAAATCCAAGAGAAAACTGTTTTCAGTTGATATTTATAATCTTTTTAGATGCTGGGTTTTCACTTAAATGACTTGTTAACCTTAGTGATATCAAACTCCCTCGCCAGTCAATAGCAACAGCAATTTACCTTTGTCATGATACTCAGATGGTTCCTGTTGAACTTTTCCATAGATTTCACTCTGACTCCACTGTTCCAATACTGGTAATTCAGGGATGTTTAAATATTCTGACCTTTATGAAGGTAACAAAACCATAAAAAAGAAGTATAATGAATTTCGCCTTGGAAACTACTTATTCGTATAAATAAAAAAGCATAGTTTATTCACTGGAAAATTCTGTGACAAATTTATTACCTGGGATAGTAAAGGGCAAAGACAAATGTTGGACGGAAGAGGCCAATATGTAGTCAACTTTACACGCCCCAGCAGATACCTGCCATCATTACAGTCTTTAAAAATCGACTGATAAGGCTGCTCTCAGCTAGATAACAGAAGTCAAGATCTCTAGAAGTAGTGGTGGGATCTACACTTCTGATAGGTCGGCTCTTATTCTATATTGGTTGGTAAATAAACAGAATGTCATCTCGGTAGATAGGATTCTATCCCTCCTCCTATCTGAGAGACACTGACAGTTTGTGTGGGCTGGAGGGAGGGGTACCACTTTCTTCAGCGAGGTAGCCACTGGCAAGTTGCCCATGCTCCAGTAAATAATCTCCATCAATGCTTATGCAAAGGGTTCTAATCACACTCAGTGGATCACATACAGAACAGACAAGACAGTCGGAGTGTGTGCCAGAAAGAAGTGTTTCAGTGGGAAAAGGAAAGTGAGTAAGAGAAAGAAATAGGGAGTGAAGATACTAAAATTCATTATATGCAATATTAAACTGCCAAAGAATAAAAAATTAGTTTAAAATGCAGAAAAGAATATCCTGAATAGGATAAGCTGAATAGGAAATTATATATGCAATATTCTCTTCTCTGAATCATGATATAAGAAAAGAACGATGAATTATCATCTGAGGTCTTCTGCTTATTAACTGGGAATATGAGGTTTGCTTTTTTATTAATAAAATGAGTTAAACATCATGTATTGAGATATACAATTACAATTGCAGCACCTGAGAGGTTACAACAATAGGATTATGAGTTTGAGATCATTCTAGACTATATAATTAATTCAAAGCCAGCCTGGGCTACATACCAAGATGTTTCAAAATACCAACCAGTAAATAAATGTTATAAAATAGCATAAGGTAAAATAATTTTATGAGCTATGTTGTTATGAAGGTCAAAAGGTATACTGTACAAGCACAATTTCAAGTTATAAAGTATTTTCAAGCCTAAGGCATTATTAGCATGAAGGGAGCACCTGCAGTGAAAATCAGACAGGAAAGACACCAACACAGGCTTCCTTGTAAAGCACAGTGTGTCCTGTCTCTCAGAAGCAGAGAACCAGGGGATGACATAAGGGATGGGTAGTTTCCGAGAAGAGGAGATGCAAGGAATGGTAACATATAAGATACTGAAACTCTTTTTTTTTTTTAATTTTTTTTTATTTTTTATTTTTTGGTTTTTTGAGACAGGGTTTCTCTGTGTAGCTTTGTGCCTTTCCTGGAACTCACTTGGTAGACCAGGCTGGCCTGGAACTCACAGAGATCTGCCTGCCTCTGCCTCCCGAGTGCTGGGATTAAAGGCGTAAGATACTGAAACCCTTATGATAGTGTTGCTATATAATGAAACTAAATGATTCCTGTGATGGTCATTGAGCAGTCAGTGACTAACTTCCCTTGAATAAGTGGCTATCCGGAGGAGCAACATTTAAATGAATACTTTACCTTAGATATTCACATTGTATTTGTACCTTGATATGCTGGACAGGGAAGGCCTTGGAGTAAAACCAAACTCTTTCAGGTCCACATTTTGAGATTTGTTCATCTGTATCTGTTAATAAAAAAATGCCATCCAAGTTCAACTACCACTTTTACAAATAAACCAAATAGTAAAGTTACTGCTGGTAAATAAAGCCAGAAATCAATGAATTAGGAAAATGTTAGGCTAGTTCTCGACTCAAATATTTTTCTGAGACCCTTCTGAGATATAAACAGCTTTTATTTTGCTTTTTGGTTTTTTGTTTTAAATTGGCCTTCTCCTCTTGTTCTATATGTGATGTTTTCAGAAAAAAAATATCTTTTGACTTTCATGGCTTAAATTATCATCCTTCTATGGATGACTCTCAAGTCTGTATTTCTATTTCACTTCCCCTTCTGATTTCCAGTTATAGCCAACTGCCTCTAGGAAATCTTTATGTGGATATCTTATTTTTTTGTGTGTGTGGTGGTGGTTTTGGGAAATTGAACTCAGAATTCAAATGAGAATCCCCCCACACACACCGCCATGGGCTCATGTATGTGAACACCTGGTCTCTAGCTGGTGGCGCTCTTTGGGAAGGTTTATGAAGTGTGGCATTGCTGGAGAACAGGTCGCTAGAGGTACACTTTGAGAGTTTAAAGAATTCCACCATTTCACGTTGCTCTCTCTGTTTCATGCTTGCAGTTCAAGATGAGAGCCCCGAGCTTCTGCTCCGGCCACCACACCTACTGCTTGCTGCCACACCTCCCACCATGATAGATCTGACCCTCTGGAACCACAAACCCAGATAAACTTGTTGTGAGTTGCCTTGGTCGTGTTTCGTCACATCAAGAGAAAAGTCACTAGTACACGTTCTCTAGGCTTGCACTGAACCATGGAGCACTCTACTATTCCACCCACATCCAGTATTTCTCAAATAGACTCTACTCTGTCTTTATCCCCAAACTTGAGTCCCCTTACTCTCACTGCCCTAGAAGGGCCCAACTTCTCTCCCAGTTCACCAAGCCAGAAAGCTGAACATTGGTTTTGCCCACTACTTTTCCCACCTCACCCCTCACAACCAGTGAAGTACCTCTGAAAAAAGTCCAGTCACTGCTCTCCACGGCCTACCACCACTGACCTAGATTGCCATCAGTTTGGTCAATTACACAACCTAATGACTTTCCATGTTCCTATTTTTTAATCTTCTAATTCCCTTTTTGTCATTGCAGCCAGAATGTCCTTTATAAAACCCAACTCTGATCAGTCCATTAATTAAAGCACTTTAGTATTTCAAAATAGTTTGATAAAATATAACTCTCTAAAAATAACAAAATGATCTGCATGATCTAATTCCTATTCACTTCTTCAGCCTCATTGCTCTCTATTTACAATTAATCTCCAGACATACTGTCCTACTTCAGCTACTTGGAAGATCTCTTGACCACCACCAAATACTCCAGAACTTCAAAATTTCATCTATCAGTCTCCATCATTATTATGGTGCCCATTCTGTATACTTGGATTATCCTTTCAGTCTCAGCCACATCTATTAGGATCCTTTCCTGGCTCATCAAATATGTATTGAGTACACTTTCTATCTAAAACCAAGTGTCTTACACTCCTGTCACAGAACCACTCATCACATTATACTGAAAAGGCCTATTAGCTTATTTGTATTCTCTATTCAACTATCAATTCAATGAGGATTGAGACTAAATTTGTCTTATCACTATAAATGTGGCATACTGGCATATCCTTGATTCTTTAAAAGGTGGAAAGAAACAAGAATATAAAAAGAAAAGTAGGAATGAAGGAAGGGAAAGAGGAAAGAAGGGAGGAAGGGAAAACTTAAATCATTTTCATTGTTTTTGTTTTGTTTTTCATTTTTTTTGAGACAAGGTTTCTCTGTGTAGCCCTGGCTGTCCAGAACTCACTCTGTAGACCAGGCTGGCCTCACACTCAAGAGATCTACCTGCCTCTGCTTCCTGAGTCCTGGGATTAAAGACATGTGTCACTGCTGTGGGATGTTCTGTATGGCAAATGTGTTGCTCTGATTGGTCAATAAATAAAATACTGATTGGCCCATGGCTAGGCAGGAAGTATAGGCGGGACTAACAGAGAGGAGAATTGAGAGAACAGGAAGGCAGAAGGAGTCACTGCCAGCCACTGCCAGGACAAGCAGCATGAATAGATGCCGGTAAGCCAAGAGCCCCGTGGCAAGGTATAGATTTATGGAAATGGATTAATTTAAGCTATAAGGACAGTTAGCAAGAAGCCTGCCACGGCCATACAGTTTGTAAGCAATATAAGTTTCTGTGTTTACTTGGTTGGGTCTGAGCGGCTGTGGGACTGGCGGGTGACAGAGATTTGTCCTGACTGTGGGCAAGGCAGGAAAACTCTAGCTACATGCCACCACCACCCTGGCCACAAAATTATATTCTCAGAAGACAAGGGTGATCACGTTACATCTCACGGTTCTCTTTTATATTAGGGTTTCCTAATATTCCCTTTGTTTAGCCTCCCTGCACTCTGAGTGTAGAAAAGCCTACAAAAGACTTTTCTAGGATGTGATGACTTAGGCTTAAGGAACGTCTACTTGTGGCTATCCCACCAAGCAACAGACACTCATTTCTTCATCACTTGGAAGGAAAGCTCTTGTTCATTCACACACTGAGGGGCAAGAATCCAAATTAACTTCAGAATTTCCAACCCAGTCCAATATAAAGCCAAGACATAGGGCAAGACTATTTAGTTTTAACTGTTGCTGAACTAAGTCAAGCTCAGACTCTTCTCTTTTTCTAGTTCTCTGGCTTAAACACACACTAGCATAAGGTGAGGAAAGGGCTGGACAGTTATGTTCCAAAATAGATGGAGAGGTTGATTATAAATAATGATCATATTCCTAGTCAAGCCCATAAATAACTGTAAAGAATACTGTAGATCTCTACCTCCTTAGTGATGCAGGGGACAAGTGACGTTTGCATTCATTTAGTTGCAGAACAAAGGATAAATGCTATTAAAACTAACCTTGAGTCGTTTAACTGGAGGAAGAGAAGAAACAGCATTTCTGCTTTTTAAGTCAGACAAATACGAAGACATTGCTGACTCTTTAACTTCTGGCTTTTGTGGAACTCCAATTTTACCTATTAAAAGAAATTGTAGATTCTCTTCTTGTTTTTGTTTTTTAAGGCAGAATCTTGTTATGTAGCCCAACCTGGCCTTCAACTCACAATCTTCCTGCCTCAGCCTCCCAAGTACTTGATAATAGATTTGACCAACATGGCCAGTGAAATTTTAGAATTTTTTGTATTACATTTTTGGTAGTACTAAAAAACAAAAAATTAAATGTCTTTGAAATGTCAAATCTAACGTTTACTTTTTTTCATGTTGTTCTCCCCTACCACAAAGGAAAACTATTTGAAGGGTTTTAATTTGAATGATATAAATATTTACTCAAGATATTTCTTTTTTTAATTACTTTTTATCCTTAGTTATATGTGTGTATATGTGTGCACATGAGTGCAGGTGCTCTTGGAGGCCAGAAGAGAGTGCTAGAGCCGCTGGAAGTGGAGTTGTAGACAGCTGTGGGTGATGGGAACTGAACTCAGGCCCTCTGCAAAAGCAGTCCATGACCACTGAGCTATCTCTTCAGCCATATTCACCAAAGACATTTCAGTTTTGAAATAATCTCAACAGAACTCACAGCAGTCATGTCCACACATGTGTTTATTTTTACAATGATGATTGCATTCTCGGTTCCCAGGTTTTTTGCAGGTAGTCATCCCTAAATTAGTATGAGAAAGAAATACATTTGTTATTACCTCCACTATTATAATTTTAGTACAAATACTTTCAATCCACTTTCTTTTTCCCCTAGGTAGTAGCAACAATATGACTTTCATACCTCCTCAAATATTAACCTATACAGCAAAAAAAGGTATTTCTAACAGCACTCCTGTCCCACTGTTAGCCCCATCAGCTTAGCCTGTGACATCCTGTAAGCTGCTTTCAGTTTCTCGAAGTACAACCAAATACAGCAGAACACCAGCAACAAAGTTTATCCTTATGGAAGTAAGAATGAAGGTGGGGATTTAAAACTTTGTTCCATACTCAAGACTGAGCATTTGGAAACAAGCAAATCTCATATCATTGTGATGATATCTTGACTAGTTAGTAGATAGGACATCATAAATATTTAGTAAGTTATAAATAAATTCTTTAGGGACATAAAATTTACTATAAGAATTCAAAGAAAGAAAAGAATGCTTCCAGGTTAGTGTCTCTAAACTATAACAAATGTATCCAAATATATAATTTATTAATATATATTATATATGTATATCATATCCACCTATATGTGGGTTTTCTGGGTTTTTTTTCTTGTTTTGTTTTTGGTTTGTTAACAGTACTAGGGGTTGAGTCTAGGGCTCTGTGTGTGATAAATAAGCACTCTACCACTGAGATGTATATGTCCCCAGCCTGCTTTTCTATATTTTGTTTTGAGGAAGCATCTTACTAAATTGCCTATGCTGGCCTTGAACTCATGAGCCTCCTGCCTCAGTTCCCCAAACAGAATTACCAGCCTGCCACATTTACTATGCTTTACATACATTTTTCTTGATCTTAGTTCTGGCTAGTAACATTGAGGAGGGGAGAATATTATAATTGTCCTTATAGGATAGACAGGATCTGGGCATAGGAAGGGGACAAGGAGAAGATATTCCAGATAGAGGTCATGATACTTAAGAGCAACAAACCAGATTATGGGAACTAACACCTGCCTGCTTTTGCTGGAACACAAATTTTAAGCAACCTGGAAATACTGAACAGCTTTGAAGACCTTTACAACCATCCTTGGCATTTTTATTTTCAGTGTCATTGTTCAATCAATCTTTTTCAAGTTAGGGCACAACTAGATGCTTATATCTGTAGCAACCTTGGATAAATGGATGAGGCTTTTCTCTAGAAAGGCAGGTGTCCGGTCTCTTTGAGGACTGAGGTGGTCAGTATGCTGGGCACTGCTATGGTTTGGATGTAAAAGGTCTCCCAAAGGCTCAGGGGTTGGTCCCTGATTGTTGATCACAACCACTGCAATGTGACTGATACCTACAGGCTCTCGCCTTCCTCCGTGGACTATTCCATCCATGGTTTTATAGTCTAACACCATTATTGCAGGTATTAGGAAGTGGGGTCTGTCTCTATAAGCTTGCCCGAGCAATGGCTTTGTAAGACCTGTCCATCCCTGGATCCTACTTGCTTCTTCCTGCCTCTAGATCCTTCAGGTGAGCAGCTCTGTCCTACTACACCCTTACTCCATGGTGAGCTACATCACTACAGGCACAGAATTATTGCAGCAGCCAGCATGGACTAAAACCACTGAGCTGAAATAAATCCTTCCTCTGTTATGTTGTCTCGGGTGTCACAGCAATGAAATCTGCCTGGCAGTATAATAGTCACGTGTCTGGTGCTGGGACAAACATCTGACAGCTACAGAGACAGACAGCTCAGTGGTTAAAAGCACGTACTGCTTTTGCAAAGACCCAAGTTCAGTTCACAGAAGCCACACGGAGTGGCTCATAACTGCCTCTAATTCTGGCTCCAAGGAGATTCAGCACCTCCAGCCTCTGTGGGCCCTGCATTCACGTGCACATACCCAAACACAATGACATACACTTTTCTGAAACCAGAAATGTGTTTCCTAGGTGAAGATAAACCCAGTCAAGTTCACAGTGAAGAATAACCATCTCACACAGTTGCTGATAAAGTAATAATAATAATAATAATAATAACAATAATAATAATAAATCTGTGGCATCTGAAAGTAGAAAGTTACACCACAGTGTTCCCAACTAAGCCTGACTTTTAAAATACAAACAACACTAAGATAAAGCCATTGTTGACCACAGTGGAAGACATATAAGACCTTCTGTGTAATTATTTCTGAAACTAGAGATAAGAATGCTCGAGAACCACAACTATAATGGAACATCCCCATCTTCTGGCTAATACAGATGACTACTAACCTTAAAAATCTACTTTAAAAATAAAAGTGTTAAGACGGGGTGTGGTGGCCCACACCTTTACTCCCAGCACCTGGGAGGCAGAAGCAGGCACCTATGACTTCGAGGTCAGCCTGGTCTACAAAGTGAGTTCTAGGACATCCAGGGCTAAACATGAAACCCTGTTTTGAAAAACAAAACAGTGTGTGTGTGTGTGTGTGTGTGTGTGTGTGTGTGTGTGTATACAACTTGCCTGCGCTGCTTCTTTCCTGCCATGTGGACCCCAGGGACCACACTCTCTGGCTGGCAGCAAGAGCTCTCACCACTGAGCCGTCCTGTCTGTCTTCACGGTCTTTTGAAATGCTGCAATGACGCCTCATTAGCAGATTTTCTTTCATCCATCCTAACAGGAAGTGCTCTTTTCTGATGGGCAGATTTATACCTCATGGTAGGTCTCAAAACTTTTCTCCACTTTTCCCTCTGATTTTGTTTTGTTTTCTCTTTTTTAGAACACTTACTCAACTCTAGGCTCCTGGGTTGTCTCTGTCCGTTTCCTTGGTCTCTGTTTTGCTTTCACATAGCTTGTACTTTGTCTCCCACGTGTGCATCTAATCACAGATTTGACTTCTATGTGCCTATTCTTGTTCTTTTCGGTTATGGCCTATTATTACATTTTATAGTAGCAATATGTTGCTTAATTTCTAGGAGGTTGCTGTTTTAATATTTTATTACGTTCTGGGATTATCCCATTGCTCTTTTGCCCACTTTTGTTTACTTTGGGATTTTTACCTGTTCCACATTTTCCTCCACTATCTGATCATCCTTAGCTGTCTTCTACTGTACATCCACTGTGCATGTGAGGACCTAACTCACAGCAGATGCAGAGTACATAAGTACTGTGAGCTTAATACACAGAAAATGGGGGAGATTCTGGTCTCTGTTGCCAACTCCCAGACCTTGTCTCTTGACCATCCCACCTCCTGAATCATATTAGCAGTGTTGATTCTCCCCCAAAAGGTTCACTTACTTCACTTAAAGATGCGATGACTAGGAGGAAAGGCCGTGTTTTTGGTTATAAAGCCTCTTAATCAGTCTTCTGAAAGCTGCACTTTGAAACAGTGCCACAAGATGGTGCACCAGGACAGTGTATGCTCCTGCAGCCCCCCCCTCAGCAGAAATTAACAGAGGTCTAGAAGCCTGACAGGAATCCTGCGAGCTCCCCAGTATTTCAAGGTAGGTTTACAAAGGTCTTGCCAGGAGTGAAGTAATTTTGTAGATATCTGTTAAGCCCTGTTGACTGGTAATATGATTCTTTTTTTTTTAAGTTCCTTTGCTGTGTTTTAGTTTGAAAGGCCTCTCTGGATATGAGAGTGAGTTAGGGAAGTCTCCTAATATCACTGTGTCAGGACCTACGTGACCTTTGATGCTGTCACTGTTTGTTTCAAGAAACTGTGGGCCCCAAGATCCAGTCCATAAATATGTGTAATGGTTATATCCTCTTGATGAATGGTTCCCTTTATTAACATGTGGTTAAAATGTTTCTGAGTGGTTTTGGTTTGAAGTCTACTTATCAGTATGGGAATTACTAATCCAGCCTGTCTATGGCTTCTACTTGCTTGGTAAGTTTATTTCTAACCTTTGACTCTATAAATTTTTAGTTGTCTTTTCTAGTTCTGTGAGTCTCCCCTTCTTTTCTGTTTTCTAACGTGACTGTTCCTCACTGGGTTGTCTTCCCTTGGATTTATGTTCAGGAGAACACTTGATGAAGTAATAATTGTGATGGTTATTGCCAGCAGTCCTGGTGTCACTTAGCTCTGTCCATTGGGATACAGCAACAAGTTCTACTACAAGCTTCCTGGGATTCAAATAGCTACCCCTATTGTGGCACAGTATAAGAACTGCTGAAATGACTAGAGGCAAGCCAAAAGGGTTCAGGGGACAACATGGTACACCTAAGTAATATCAAGATAATATATTCCTTATATGGCTATGAAACAGTAATTTGAACACTGACTCAGTAATGGATGGCATTAATTTTTATGTATAAAATATAGCCTTAAAAACTTTGCCATTTACAAGCTTACAATGAAACATTTACATTGGAATGGTGTGCTAGTTGGTATTTGTTTCAGATTATAAAAAGAGAAAAGTGAAACAAGGTATTGGGTACACAGTAAAAGCTATGAGTTGATTCTTATTTAAGGTGGCTAGTGAGTATCTAGGAATTCTTTACACACTTCTGTGTATGTTTAAAATTAATCACAATAAAAAGTTAGATCCACTTTCACTCTGGTCTGCTTCATCAAGAATGTGGATTCCCACACATCACCATCTCCCCAGAGGATGGTCCTAAAAGTGAAGTGCATATGAAAAGGGATAATGAATGTAAAAACCAATCAAATAATTTGTTGCCCAACTAATTTACCAACTTAAAAATATTAAGATCAGAGATAATTCCTACTACATATTATTAGTATAATATGTTATTATTAAATGAAACCTAAATATTTAATTCCAGAGACCAACAATTTGAGTGAAGTCATCCTGTAGTAACGCTCCTCCTAGGCCACATTGACGTTTTTATAGAAAGCAGAAATTAATAGTGCTATTACCTTTACTGGATCCTGCTATAGTAGCTCTGTCTGAGAGTTTAGAATGAGAAATATCCGTTTCTAGTCTTCCTTGCATAACTGTTTGGTTTACAAACCTTCTGGGTCCTAAGTAAAAGACTGTAAATTTCTGCTGAATATCAAGACCAACTGGAAAGAGAAAAATATGTATGCAAATGCTTATTAAAATCATATTCAGTCTTTACATGAGGCTATTTATTTCATTTTATATATCTTATTATAGCACTAGAGCTAAGAAGTATGGGAAATTCAAATATTTTTGAAAAGATTAAAATAATGACAAATGAAAATGTGTTTATCTTAATATTTTTTAATTCTATAATCAAAATTTAACTATCTTAGAAAACAGAAGTCTATTAGTGAACAAACAAAATTGAATTATGTTATTTATATATATGAAATTTTCCTTAATGTTTACTCGTATACGTATATTATCTTTATTATTTTTCTGTACCAGCTAGCATAAAGGAAATAATTTTTAAATGCTGTCACATTTTTGTATTGATATCTTCATTACTTCGACTAACTTACCATAATCAGAACTAATTAGATTTATGCTAAGATCTTCAGATGTAAGAGCTCTCTTCACATCAATTTTTTTAGCCCAATTTCCACTTTTTAACAAAACAGAATCCCTGAAAAACAGTAATGTATAATTTAACATGATCCAAACCCTAAATGAACTAATATATTGATTTCAAGGATGAGTTTTTCTTAAGATGGGTCTTCAATAGTAGTAAACAATACTGAAAACTACTTTCACCAGATTGTGAGGAGAAAGAATGAAGTGTGCATGGAGATTTTCTGCTTGTTGTTTGCCCCTCAAACCTAGTACGTAACCACGAATAACCTGGAACTACTGGTCCTCTTGCTGTCACCTGATTGAGGTGCTGAGATTATGGCATATGCTACCACCCACGACATGGAGCTAATTATTTTAGCAGTAGTTGATCCCAAGCTGCACTGGCTCACTTGAAGTCAAACAGAAATATACAGTTATTATTAATAAGACATGATTTGTTTCTGAGTCAATACCACTTTAATGTGGTTTGCACAAGTTCTATTTCTTTGTGAGAAACAACTTCAACAATCTTTTAAATTGAGTGTGAAAGAGTTTGTGTCCAAAGCTGACACAGACAAGAAAAAAATCACTGAACGTATTTCATTCTCATGCCCCAGGAACATGGATTTGCACAATGGTGTGTCTCGCTAAGTGTGCCGGGGCTAGTTGTAGGAGAGCAGTGACTGTGAGAAGAGCATCCTGGTGCTGCAGCTCCTTTAGAAATCTCCCTGTATCCGCCTGTATCCTGACGATTAGCAGACTACAGTTGTAGATTCTCTGCCATTCCTAAACTCAGCAGTGTATTAATGGAGTGAATGCAGGCTCTGGCCTGAGGATGTTAGCATCAATGTAGCCTTTGTTATCAACTAGCTACATGATGTTGGCATATGTGACTAAGACCTGTTTCAATTTCTTCCTCTACAAAATGTACATTATGGTAGCACCTATCTTATACAAATATTAAGTAACTCAGTATTTTGAGTATTAAGTACTAAAAAAGAACTAGCAATTACAGAAACTGGTATCTTGAAAGTTTACTTATCGCATTTTGAGGGAAAAAATAATATCTAGAAAACACTGAAGTAAAACTTATAAAAGGCACTTTAGAGAACAGATATATCTTCCTTATATGGTTGATCTGACTGCCTGTATCCTCCAAAGGAGTTAAAGTAGCTGTTTACATGTTATTTTAGAGACAGAATTTGGAGATAGAGGGTATAATCTGAATTGAATACTGTATTCAAAAAGTAGTAAGGCCATAGAATAAGAAAAACAGAAATCGGAAGGCCCAGAGGCCATCTGTTCTCTTGTCACAAGTCTGGTGCTGATCTTTAGTTGGCAGCTGTTCAGAGTTTCTTAATGGTGACAGATTTTATACTATCTCCATCTAGTTCTAAAGAGAATGACCTAAAGCAACACACCCAGAGTTTGTATCACCCCTCCTTAACAGACAAGTGGAAAACTTGCCCCATTATTACACCAGGGAACTGTAATTTAATTGATTATGTGGTGATCTAATTATTGTATCTTATAGTAAAATTTTCATGTACAAAACACTTAAAAATAAAATCAAATAGGTATTTCATAATTACTCACATAATTTTGTGCTTAAAAACGACTTGATTATCTGCATCACCTATGATTAAGGTAACATAGTGAGAGTCTGGTGCTGTTCTTTTAGTTTGCAGCTGTTCAAAGTTTCTTAATATAATGGTCACCAGTATTTCCGCCTTGGTATCACTATATCTTGCAATCTTAAAAAAAAAAGTATAAAATGCTTTAAAATGATCTTACTGTTCATTCTCAGCTTCAGTTGTAGTCATGGAAAGCTTTACTTTTAAAAAGACAGATTATTTAAGAAAGAGGGGGCTGGGGATTTAGCTCAGTGACAGAGAGCTTGCCTAGCAAGCTCAAGGCCCTGGGTTTGGTCCTCAGCTCCGGGGAAAAAAAAAGAAAGAAAAAAAGAAAGAGAATACTCACCTGCTCCACTTCAAGTTCATACTTTGGTAGATACATCACAGCTTCTTTTATCTGGGTTCCGAAAGGCGGATGTCTGCTTAAAATCTAAACATATTTTATCATTATACTCTTACACAACACTTGGAACTCTCATTGAAATACTTCTTAGAATCTATAGATTTCACTAGGTTTGTCACTCCAAGCATCTGTAGTTGAAATACTTTTGACTGTCACCGCTGGCTGTCTTCCTCCACTGCTCACCACCTTGGTCTTCAGGAGAGAGGGTCCTCACCGTACCTGGTGCCCACTGGCTCCTCTAGAATACATGACCTGCAAGTCATGTATCTCCCTGCGCTCACCCCCGAAGTGCTGGGTTATAGGTGTGTGCTTCTAGGTCCAGTTTCTGATGTGGTGCTGAGCTCTGAACTTGGATCACAGGCTTGTGTGACATGGACTTTACCGACAGAGCCACCTCCCACATCCAAACAGTTTTAACAGAAATGAAGACATACACAGTGGGGTTCGGAATTCAAATAGAATTCAGTAACACTGGGAACAGAGAATACTACATACCAGTTCAATTTCTCTTGCATTTGCTTCTTCTATTTTTTTAAAAGAAGTCAAACCTGCATTTACCATGGTATTTGACAATGATATGCCTGTGGAAAATTAACCAAAGAGTAATTTTAAGTCATTTTAGATGGAATCAAAATGTAAGCAACTACACTAATAAAAACCCTTTCAGCGGGGTGCGCACTTGGTGGTAGAGCACATGTGAGACCCTAGTGCCGATCCTGAGGGCCACAATAATCCATCCTTAATTAACCCTTAAAACAGTCAGTCAAATATCTAACGCTGCAGTTTGTGTGCTGTTGAGTGTGTCCTCCAAAGGACTGTGCGCTGAAGTTCTTTTCCCTCAAGGTGGCAGGGATAAGCAGGTGGAAGATTTAGAAGGTCCTACTGGAAGGTAATCAGGTCACTGGGGGTTTTACCCTCCCCTAAATGGATTAATGCTAATGTTTTGGAACTGCTTGGGGCTAAACAAAGCGAGCAGATTCAAATAAAAAAAAATGTGTTGTTGCATAAAGAAAAACCCAGGCATCTCCCCCAGCCTTTTGATTCCTGTCTTTCCATGTATCTCGTCCACATGAACATCCTGCCATCTTGATGCCACCCACCACAAGACCCTCATTAGTGAGAACTGGATGGCAATGCCATGCTCTTGAACGTCCAGAAATGCAAGATAAATTAGTACTTTCCTTTAAAAGTCCCCAGCTTCCAATGTCTTGTTATAGGAACATAAAACTAACTAGTTTAAGATTCAGACTTCTAATGCATATATATATATATATATATGCATTGTGGACGATATCTATATCTATATATCTATATATCTATCTATATATATATAGATATAGATATAGATATCTACACACACAAACACACAATCTTCCTGGTCTATATAATAACTCAACCCTCAGTTTTACTAAATGTAAAGTATGACACACCTATTTCCGTACCAAATTTTCAACTCTTCTTGGGAAATTCTCACACTCATTCCTTAGACACAGTCACCTCGGTGGTGAAGGGGGTTCACTGCCAAGCCTGACGACTTCAGTTTGACACCTGGGACCCACATGGTAGGAGAGAACCAACTCCATCAAGCTGTCCTCTGACCTCCACATACGCAGTGTGGCGTGTGTGTAAACACTCACACTCACATACACAAATAAATAAGTGTAATTTTTTTAAGACAACCTCTGGCATTTACAACTCCTTAATATTCATTTCTTAACATGGCAAACATCAACAGGAAAACATAATCATACCTGAATCATAAACAAAGGCGACATGATTCAAGATAGGAATGTTCATGAAGCTATAACTCGCTGAGCATTTCTGTCTTAAAAATAAAGCTCACTGTTTCTGTACCCAGCCTACATAGTAACAGTTTATGTCTCTGCCTAGAACTTGGGATGCATTTGGATGAAGTGTCAACATTGTTTCTGTAGCTGAATTCTCCTAGCTGTCTGACTTGACCTAGCCTAACTGCTTCCATCTAATTTCCTGCCCTCTCCTCTGACTGAGGACTCCTCAGTCATGTTCGCTTTTATTTTGTTCCTTAAATACATCAAGTTCATTCTACTTTTGGACTACTCTATTTGTTTACACTTTCAGAATCTATCATTTGTTTTATGATAAATTTGTGCAAATCCTGTTTAGAGGGTACTTTAAGAACTGTGTGATTCCAAACAAGGCCTCCTCATCTAGAATGCGCATCACTGGTGAAGGTGTGAGACATCTCACTCCTTACTCTCTTTCAGGCACACTTTCTAGTATGAACAACTCCTTCATATTCCTTGTTTGGTTTTTAGAACTACTTTCTCTTTTATGTTCAGCGGTACTGAGTCATGTGTGAAAGCAGACTGCTGCTTCATACATCTGGAAAGACAGAATCCAACAGACACTCAGACTAACAGCACTCTAGAAAGCAAGAAGAGTAACTGAAGCAGAACAAAGCTGATGTCATTTAGCTAATTTGTCTATAAAACGCCATTTTATAAATGTTGTACGGAACCTCCTTTCCCAGTTTAGAGTGCCTACCTTTACCTGTGACTGAGACATTTAGTTTGCTAGGCCTTCAGTGTGACAGTAATCTTCACCGTTATTGACTAGATTAGGAGTCACCAGGAGGAGCACCCTCTTCTGGCCTCCAGCAGGCAAAACACCCTGAACACAAAAATAAAATAAAAACCACCCAGGGAACATCTCTATGGGCATGTCCATGAGAGTAACTCCAGAGAGGTTTAACTGAAGAAGAAGCCCCACTCTGAACGCAGTGGTACTGTCACACAGGCCAGGGTCCTAAGCAAATAAAAAGGGAAAAAGCAAGCTAGGCAGCGGCGTTCCCCGTCTCCTGACTGAGATGCAGGGGGGCAGCCACACCACCCTCCTGCTGCCAGGCCTGGCCCCTTTGTGGAGTTCATGCCATCAAACCATGAGCCAAAACACTCTTCCTTCCTTTAACTGTCATCCTCGATTATTTGGACACAGCAATGAGAGAAGTAGCTAATGTACTGAGCCTTTCCAAGAGGAATTTCTACTCTATTCTTATCTTACTTTCACCAGCGAATCCCACCACTATCCCAGTTTCCAGGGATTTTTGGCCAGTTCTGTCACCCTCATTGACTTTGAATTCATAGAAATTAGAAAGCAGGACTTGCAGAGCGTGGTGGCCCACACTTTTAACCCCAGCACTGAAGAGGCAGAGGCAGGCAGGTTTCTGTGAGTCAGAGGCCAGCCTGGTCTATGTAGTGAGGCACACATCAGCTAGAGCGTTAGCATAAGAGCTTGCTTCAAAAAACAAAACAAAACAAAACACAGTGGGATTAAAAAGATCAGCTGGAGATCTTCATTCAGACAACAAAGCTGTGGTTAGAGGGATGGTTCAGTGGTTAAGAGAACGGACTGCTCTTCCAGAGGACCTGGCACTCTCTTCTGTAATCTGTGGGTATGCAGGCACGCACGCGTGCGTGTGCGCACGCGCACACACACACACACACACACACACACACACACACACACATATAGAAAATATTATTTGTTTAAAAAAGCTTTGTGATAGTGAATGCTTATAATTCCAACCCTCAGGAGACTGAGCCAGAAGGATCACAAATTCCCCAAAGTAGACTGAGCTATATATAGCCAGATCCTATTGCAAAAAACAACAGGATGAGGTGTTGGGGCTATAGTTCAGTGGTAGAATGCTTGTGCAGCTTGTACAAGGACCTTGGTCTGATCTATAGCTCCTCTCCCCCGCTGAAAAAAAGAACCCAAACCAGCTAAATGATAATCCCTAAAGATTCATCACATAATTTATTGTTTGGTCGCCCCACCTGTACTTCCTGCCTGGATGCTGGCCAATTAGTGTTTCATTAAACCAATTCAAGTGACAAATGTTTACAGTGTACAGAGGATTATTCCACAGCATCTCCCCCCTTTTGTCTAATTAAAAAGGAAGGTTTTAACTTTAACATAGTGAGATTATATATAACAAAAACAGTTACTAAGTGAGAATTACAGTAACACTATCTAATACATTTGCATTTGGCAAAATTAGAGAAAATACTTATTATCTACCTTATCTTGGAGAGTCTCAAGTTTTGTATCTGATTTTCTTTCTCCTATAACTAAGGAAAACTGTAACTATTTAGACTTCAACTCCATCAAAGACCACAGAAGAGTGGAATGTTACCTAATGACAGGGACATCAGGCTGCCTGGACAGTCACCCAAAGTTCCTCTGCAATGTTGGGTCATCCAGCTCTGGCCTATAAGCCTAGAATGTCTGACAGACTTTCCTGTGAAGCAGAGAATTCTGAAGGACTGTCCTACCTTGTCTTGGCAAAGTCTGGCAGTAGCCTTTCTTGTGTCCTTCTGGTCCAGTTTGGACAGTAACTGTCAGCAAGTGAGGCAAGGGCAGTCTCTTTGTCCACATGGCTAGATTTTGCCATAAAGAAAACAAACTCCATATGGAGTTTCTTCAATTCCCATCAGTTAGGGTTTTTTGGGGGGCGGGATGCTTTTCTAGATAAGGTTACTCTGTATGGCCCTGGCTGTCCTGGAACTCCCTCCTAAATCAGGATGGCCTCAAACTCAGAAAACTGCCTGTCTGTGCCAACGAGGATTAAAGGCATTCACCACAATGCCCAGCTCTTTGGTTGGTTTTGAGACAGGGTCTCACGTATTAATAGTCCAGGCTGTCCTTAAACTTACTACATAATCAATGCTGGCCTTGAACTCCTGATTCTTAGGCCTCTGTATCCTGAGTGCTGGGATTATAGGAGTGTACTACCACACCCAGATTCCATTATATACCTTTTAATTTTCCCAAGACACATATAAAGTCACAAAACTAATGAGGCTGTCAATCTTGGGATAATAATTCTTTTTATAATATTACTTATTTAGGAAGTAGGGTAACAAAGTCAAGGTAAGAAACTGGAAAAACACCAGAATTCTTCAGTCTGATCCAGTTTGTATGACTGGCATGCTGTAGTATTTTAAAGTGTCCTCTAAACTGGGTCCTAACAGAAAGTCAGGAACAAGCTTCTGTCTGCAGAAACACTAAAATGGGCACTGATATCCTGCTATTATTGAAAACAGAAATAATCAGGATACATCTGATCTTGAAAGTTTTATATCTTGTCACTAGTGACACAGTAAATTATTCATCACAGAAGTAATAGATAATACTACATAGTTACATAATTACTAAAACAAAGTCAATTAAAGAACAAGTTTCAAAATGAGAACTTTAAAATTAGATTTCTCGTGTATTTTTGCACTTGATTTAATTATTCAGTTGGTTTATAACAGTTGATTGTTTTGCATTCACTTATTTACTTGTGTGTGTGAAACACACAGGTGGAGGTCAGAGGAGCAGGCTCTCTTTTTGCAGCATGTGGGTCTGAAGGACTGAACTCAGGTCATCAGGCTAGGCAGCAAGCAGCTTTACCCACAGAACCATCTCACCATCTCTTATTGGGAATTATTTAAGCAAGAACAAATAAAACTCTGGTTTTTCAAATATAAGCATAGTATTCTACAAAGGCATATTTTCCTTAAAAGTACATAATCATCATAAAATAATATTATTAATAGTAAAATATAAAAGAAATTGCAGACAATGACAGATGTCTGTCTTGAGTACCTACCAATTTTATCCAGCTGTTTGGATACATGCCGGGAGTTTTCCCAGAGTTTACACTTAAAACATTTAGCTAAAATCACACTGTTTAAAAGCACAACAAACTTCTTTTCCTGGGAAGCCACAAAATCTGACAACCCTGAAAAAAAAGTTTCCAATATTAAATATACTATATTAATTTACTGGAAAAAATGAAGATCCATTAATGATTTAACATACATCTTGCAATTCGTGAGCCATTTTTGAAAATTTTCGAGGTATCTTGTGTCAAAGCAAAATCTTGGATAGGAATGCATCCCAGCTGCGCCTGAATAAGACTGGAGAAAACATACTTCATTATTTCCTTTTAAAGATCACTATCACACAGGACTTGGCATGACTGAAGTATTCCTTAGAATTTCTCTCCCCTTTGGTCTGTATGGTACTAAGAGTCTGTTTATTTAATTATTGTTGCAGGTCACTTTTGACTTCCCTTTCCCAACCTGCAAAATAACATATTATCTAACTTAAGGCAGGGTTGGTAAGCACTTCACATACAAAGTATTCTACAGATGTCTGTGAAAAAAAATCTTGATTTGACTTAGTAGTCGATACAAGAGAGTATACTGGGAACAAAACATGAAGTTAAGAGTTCTAGCTGCAGCTTAGTTTCCCACATAGCAACATACTTGGCCAAGCCATTGCTTATCTGAATGTCATTTCATTTGTGCAATAACAAGATTGGGTCATATGATTTCTAAGGTCTCCAAAGCTGTTTGAATTGCTGCAGAAATATAGTTAATAAACCATATTAACTTCTGCTCCAAGCCGTAGATCTGTATGAAGAATTGCGGTGAGAAGACTGTTTTTATGAATATCTGGGAGATAAAATTGAAAAATATCCTAAAGAAAGAATAACTTCCTCTAGCTAAAGAAGAAAAAAAAATCCTGTGTTAACTGGCTTCACTGAGCTAAATTTAAAAAGTCATTTTACTGGCCAGGCATGGTGGCACATACCTTTTATTCTAGCACTTGGGAGGCTGAGGCAGGCAGCTCTCTGTAGGTACGAGGCCAGCCTGGTCTAACTAGCAAGTTCCAGGACAGCCAAGGCTACATGGAGGGAGGGACTTAGTCTCAAAACAAAAACAAAAGAAAACAAACAAAAAACTTTTTACTTTGAATCACGTCATTTAAATCAAAAGACCTAAGTATCAAGACCTAAATATCCAAGAAATCACTTTTCATGTCAGAAAAGTAAATCTTTGCATTTGCAGTTACAAACGGGGCAAAAGTCAGAGGTCACAGTCTACCTTAGTTTATAAACCCAGCAGTTCTTCTATATAAACTCCCCATTCCTGACAGAATGGTTATCCACTCACATGTGCATTCATGCACTTGGGGTTGGTTTGTGGGTTTTTTTTGTTGTTGTTGTTTTTTTTGTGTGTGTGTGTGTGTGTGTGTGTGTGTTTACTACTTTTCTCTCCTAGAATTCCATGACTATTGAATTTGTGCTTATTAGTTATGTTTTAATGATGCCAGTTATTTCCACGCATGTTTCGTTCATGCTGACTTGGAAGCATAAGTACACTGTATTCCTTTCGTCTACTTTGCCTCCACAGAATATACTGCCAACAAGTGACTTATCTAATTAAGATTTTCTTTCATCTCTTTGTTACATCTCTGCCTTTCCTCCCCTTCTTTTCTCTCCCTTCTTCCCTTCCATAGTAGTGGGGCTGAAGGCAGGGCCCTGTGCATACCTAGGCAAGCACTCTACCACTGAGTTTCACCCCCAGACTCTCAATTTATTTTAACTAAAGTCTGAAAGTTCTTGGAAATTAATTTCACATATAAATTCCTTATTTTTCTATAAACACATTATTTTTAAATTAAAGAAAAATATATTTTAAAACTGAAGAAGAAACTGGCATGGTAGCTCACATCAGCAGTCCTGGCACACAGGAGGCTATGGTCGTTTAAACTGTGAGATCTGATACCAGCTGGAACTATATATGGAGACTTCTGTCTCATAAAAGGGGAGGACCCTCATGCATATGAATCATGAATGTATATGCAGTATTTTAGGATGTTAAAAAATAAATTTTCATTACCAGTTCACTTTCATTTCTCTTGTTTTAATTTTCCCATCCATTGGAAATCTGTAAATAAAACACATGGAAAGTGTTTTATTATTTAACTAAATATAACCTCTGAAGTTATAGAAAGCATATATAATTTCTATACCTGATCGTTATCCGGTTTGGGTCTCTGTTTAAAGCATTCAATGCTCTCTTTTCATTTATCCTCAGCTGCACGTCTAGAAACTCATTGCAGCTGGCTATCATTGAAATCTATAAAATTTAAGCATTTATCAATTTAACAAATTGCATTTTAAACTTTTTTCTTACCCCCTTTCTCTGAATTTACTTATTTTTCATGCTGCCCAGGGGCACTCTGGCTTTATTCGTTAGCAAAGCATAATTTAAAGACGGCTTTATGCATTTTATTTCTTTAAATATTCTATCACTGACAAATCCTTAGAAGTTTCTATATGCTAGACACCGTGAGATATAATGTGATCAGCCATTAGGATAATATCAGTAAGACTGTAGCCATGAACAAGGTCAGATGTTCCATTTAGTGCAGAGAGAGACACTCAGTGCATGCTGATCTTCTTATTAACTGTTATTGCTGCTCTTCATCCTTTCGTAGTTTACAAATCACCATCCCAATGACTTAGTAAAGGGAAGATGCTTTACATACTAAGAAATTTGGATTTGTAGACTAGCTCTGGGAGATAGAACTAAGTGTTCTAAACCTCTCACACAATAAACTCAGCCAGATGGTGCTGACACTGAGTATTTGTTCATCTTGACTTCTTAGAGAAGACGAATATTTACACGGAAACACAAACCAAGCTTGCTCACGTGACTCCTTAACAATAACCAGAATTTTACTGTGCAGTCTTTAATATAATAACTTTATCGTGGTAATTAATTGATAATTAAAATAGATAATTAAAATAGGGATGCAGACATAGGGCACTGCAGCAACATGTTGTCATGTTATGACTCAGTCATTCATTCATGGCACACTTTGCTAATATATCATGATATACTCTCTTAGAATCCTTCTCACATCTTATATTTGGAGGCACTCCTGAGGTAAGCATCATTACCAAGTAAATTGTAAGTTGTAAAATAGTAGCCACACCTATTTGTATATATATTTTCTTAGCTTTGATAAGAAACACAAATGAAAATATAATGTATTCCTTGGAGTTATATTCTCTATCTCATGATCAAAGGCAGACATGCTGTGGGATGGGCTGTATGTCAAATTACTCTGATTGGTCAATAAATAAAACACTGATTGGCCAATGGCTAGGCAGGAAGTATAGGCAGGACTAACAGAGAGAAGAAAGAAGAGAACAGGAAGGTGGAGGGAGTCACTGCCAGCTGCCGCCATGACCAGCAGCATGTGAAGATACCAGTAAGCCACAAGCCACGTGGCAAGGTATAGATTTATGGAAATGGATTAATTTAAGCTATAAGAACAGTTAGCAAGAAGCCTGCCACGGCCATACAGTTTGTAAGCAATATAAGTCTCTGTGTTTACTTGGTTGGGTCTGAGTGGCTGTGGGACTGGCGGGTGACAGAGATTTGTCCTGACTGTGGGCAAGGCAGGAAAACTCTAGCTACAGAGACATAACAATTAAAATGATTTTCCTTTCTGCTCATTCCATTTTAAATTATAGGAGATATATAAATCAGTTGTCTCTCCAATATTATTTTTATTCTACAATTATTAATTTCTAATGAAAACTTACTAAATCGGATAAAGTTTCTTTTCCACTGATTGTACAAAATTTCTTCACTGTCTCAAATGTAATATAATACCAAGCCATTAGTCTTCCTGCCTCTGTTAGAAAAGATGGAAAAATAAACATTTCCATATTAGCTGATACAACACGCTTTTTAAGAAATCAGTTAAACAGCCGGGCGGTGGTGGCGCACGCCTTTAATCCCAGCACTCGGGAGGCAGAGCCAGGTGGATCTCTGTGAGTTCGAGGCCAGCCTGGGCTACCAAGTGAGTCCCGGGAAAGGCGCAAAGCTACACAGAGAAACCCTGTATCGAAAAACCAAAAAAAAAAAAAAAAAAAAAAAAAAAAAAAAAAAAAAAAAAAAAAATCAGTTAAACAAGCATTTTCTTACCATCTACTTAATGGGCACTGTGTGCTTGTAATGACTCCTGAGCAAAGACACCCCACAAACCATAGAAAACACAACCTGTGGACCTTACGGTTGATGTAAGCACAGGTAAGCTAGAGAACAAAGTACACTGAACAGTAATACTTGTATACAAGCTGAAGAAGGGAAGAAATTAACCCTAAGAGAACTGCCAGTATGGGATGACCTAATAGAAAAAAATGAGTTTTACGCAGTGACTAATATGACTTGGCAGAGAGGAAACAAAGCCATTATGACCTTGGAGAGAATCAAGATTGATTTATCAAAACTGAAAAATTAAGAAGACTATCTTTAGACTACTTTAGAAAGCGATATGGCTTGATGATCACTGTGAGTTCCAGTCAGCTGACCTAATATGAATCTTCATTTAGTACATGGCAGAAGATCATGTGTACATGTCTTAATATATCAGGAAAATAGAAATACATGCCTCAAAGTTTGGTTGTAGTGCCTAATACTTTGTAAGTGCTGCCTAATTTTTAAAATGAAGAAATGATGACTAATAAACTAGAGGGCCCCAGGGAGCTTCTAAGGCCATTCAAAGGAGAATGTGGATCAGATTTGTAAAACAACAGGGCCACTTACAATGCTTGAGCAATATTTTTAGTTAAATTGGAGTTTCAAAAAAATTGTTTTGAAAAATAAAATAGCAGGGAGATTGGGAGGGAGGATGAGTGAAACAGGGATGAGGAACTGATGGAATAAAATTTACTTCAGAGCCTACTGGATCTAATTGTTAATTGTCCAAAAGTATCTCAAAGAATTCTAGTCCTAACAAACATACACAGAAGACAGCTGGAAAAAGCAAAGTGGCAAACCTGGTCTCAAGAGAAGAGCTAGTATTACATGTGAACCACAGGTTTTCTCAAAGAAGGGAATATTTTTGGCATGTCAACAGAGTGACAGGCATTGAGGACATTGTAAAATGGACAGAATTAACAAACAGAGCTTGAGAAGGAACTAGACCAGCTCAGAGTCACTGTCCCAACTAGGAGCCTGCTGAGAATGCAAATGAAAATGCAGGTAATGCAATGTCAGGAAGGGGGCTTCTGAAAGACCAATGTGATGACAAGAATAAGGTTATTTGGGGAATATATTTAAAAATGGTCCTTTCACCATCTGTCCAAAAATTAATATAAAGTATCTCCCTACTGCAAAATATAAAAAAACTTAAGAAAAACATATATTTGTTGCTTTGTTAATTGGAATGAAGCTTCTTAGGTTAAAAAAAAAATCTAGAGAAGAAACCATGAAAAAAAAAGAGCCAAAGTCGAGGGATGGGAACAAAGTGGAAAAAGGCTTTGGAGTAAACAGGAGTGCAAAGCAAACTTGCTAATATAGTTATCAGTGGATAGACGTTCTCACAGCAGTGAGTCCAGAGTCCAGGGTAGAGTGTGCAGGGCAGAGGCAGGGGAGCTGTGAGAATGCACCTCTCAGGTGTCTTACTGCACGGAATATTACTGACCAACAGTTCCACTTGTACGAATCCATCCATCGCCATGAAGTTAACACTAAAGTCCCACTTTCATAAGAGCCTCCCAGCTGGTGCACTGACACAATGAGCAGGCGTACAGTAAGAGACCGCCCCAACAGACAACTTTATCTTCAACTCAGCTCCCATCATTTTGGTCAATTGAGCCTAGGATTACAATGCAAGCTAAAATTTGCCCTCCTGGCATTCTTTCCTTTTATTTCCTCCCTCCACGGATGATCTCCATCCCAACTGAATGACTGCCAAGCTTCTTACAGATACCAGCTGTTTTTAAATGACTAATCTCTCTTAAAATAGGAAAAAACCTTGTTAAGCTAACAGATAAAACTATCCAAATATCTGAGTATTGTGACCACAAATTAGAAAACAAAAACTATATGAAGCACACTATTAGAATATACAGATAGAATTTATATATAAAATAATAAACTCTAGCAGATAAAACAAGATATTAGTAACATGAAGGAACAAGAATTCATTAAAAAAAAAAGAACTGTAATTTCAGCATTCAAAACAAAACAATTTAAAAACCCAAAGAAACTAGTTAGAAACAGCAGCTAGGGACCGCTATCTACATTAATGGCAGTCTAAATAATTAGGAAATAGCAGTCTGCCAAAATCAACTAAACCAGCTAACAGAAATACAGCTATCATTTATAAACTCTCAAAGAACTAATAGAATATCTTATCTGGGTAGGGCTGAAATCCAAAAGATTCCTTTGATTCTTGTGACCTGTGAGACTACCCTATGACTTAGCTTACCAAAAAGGAAGAAAAATAGGAGGAAAAAAGTTCCTTAGAAATCTTTTCAACAAGCTCTGGTGGTGCACACCTTTAATCCCAGCAGAGGGAGGCAGAGGCAGAGGCTGGGGGATCTTTAAGTTTGAAACCAGCCAGATCTACAGAGTGAGTTCTAGGACAGCCAAGACTACACAGAGAAATCCTGTCTTGAAAAACCAAAACCCAAAAAAACTTTTCAACAAAGTAACAAAAGACACTTAAGTGTGACTCTCTTTGAGGAACACATGTCCATGTATGCATATTATCCTTTCTCTTTCCCTTAATGTCATGTCTAAACCTATGTAAAAACTGTTGTCCTGAAATCCTCTTCTGTAGTAAAAGTCAACAATACTGCTTCGCCTGAGCAGAAAGGTCTCTGAGAGCTCCTTGAGCTGCTACAAATGGCAGCACAGAGCCATGTTTCCTGTCCAGCTTTGCTGCTGCCAACACACAAAACTGCAATTCTTAATGACTTGTATAAAGTAATCATAATGCGTCTGTGAAGGTGAATTGTATTTATAAAAGGATGGAAGCATAAACTGAAACAGATCCCAAGTCGGAAGCCTCCACAAGCAGAAAGGTCAAGAAGGCACTGTTAGAATCAGGAGAACAGACACAGCAGTGTCCAGGAGGTAAAGTCAGGTAGCATTCACTGATCACTGAGGAAGAAAAATATTACGTGATCATTTATTAGATGTGTTTAATAGCAAAAAGGATGGTTTCAGTGGTGTCGAGGGACACTGTGAGAAGCTAGGCATGCGATCTCCACATTCAGAAGGACCGGCTGGATGACTGCTTCAAGCTCTAGGCTGGCCTAGTCAACAGAGTGGGTTCCAGTTCCTGTCTCAAAAGAACTCAGACAATGATAACAATAAAACAGAAAAATGATAGTGAGAACATGAATCTTTTATGATAGTAAAATATCGAAGAGTAGGCAGGGAAGTTACATTAGAAATTCTCATGGTCCCTCTCATTAGACACTCAGGAACACAGAAGCCAATAAAGGCCCAGAAAAAAAATAGGAAAGGTTTAAAACACAAGGCTGAGACTCAGCAGTAAACTGTTTCAGAACTCTAACTTTACACTGGCTATAAATGAAGCATGACACAAACTCCACATCCTAGAACATGGCCACAAATATGTAAAGTGTTCATCAAAAGTAGAAGGCTACATACCAAATTCAGTAATTATGAATTTTATTAAAAATCCCATATACTTTTAATTACAATGATTAATTTAAATAATGAAGTCAACATGTTCCTCCAAAATCAGCTCTAACTCTAAATCCTAAAAACTATGAAACACTTTCCTCTTTAATTCTTTTTCTAAACAAAACTAAGCTGAGAAAAAAGAGAAAGGCAAAGAGAAGGAGCCTGGAGAGGGAGGGAGGGAGAAGCCAGTGAGGGAGGGAGCTCAGGAAAGCATGGCATCTGGGCAGGGCTCAGTGCTCCACACTGAGAGACAGCATCACAAGAAGGTGACTTTCCCACAAAGTCATGACACCCTGTGCCTCCCTCTCTTAAAACATTAAAAGTATTTCTTTTCATAATTTAACTGTATTTTTTTTTTTTTTTTTTTTTTTTTTTAGGCAGGAGGGTTTCTCTGTGTAGCTTGGCGCCTTTCCTGTAGCCCAGGCTGGCCTCGAACTCACAGAGATCCGCCTGGCTCTGCCTCCCGAGTGCTGGGATTAAAGGCGTGCGCCACCACCGCCCAGCCTTAACTGTATTTTTATAAGAGCATAAATTTTGTAAATATAGAAACATTTTGTAACATGTAAGACTCAGATCTGAGGTGTTTTAAGGCTGTGAGTGTTGCATGGGGTGACATCATGGGCTGTGCAACGTGCATGTGTGTCTTTAGAATCAAGGCTGTAGTGAAATCACACAGTGCACACGGGCAAGCACTGCAGAAGCAGAGAGGTACCTTCCTGTGCCTGGAGGACAAAGGACTCCAGCTTACACACAGCTCACAGCCCTGTCAACAAACCTCCATGGACAGAAGGGGATGTTACTTTCCTGCATAGAGGAGCCTACGTAGCCACCCAGATAATCATGGTTGAGCATTCAAATAGCAAAGGTTATTTGTACTAGTTATAACCGGCCTAAAGACTTCAAACCCTCTGCCGAGAATTACCAGAATCAGTGAGGTCTTGTGTCAAGAAGCTGTAGTTTCAAAAGGGACTCTTATGAACTGACGCTTTACAGCTAAAAATGATGATATGCTATTGAAAATGAAGATCACAATCTAGTTTTACTGTTGTCTAAATTTTAGTAAAACAAAATTTTAGTGACATCATAAGGAAAAATACCTGTTGGTTTGAAAAAAACATCTTCATCCATTTTTATCAAGTCTAGTGATGATAAATCTTTCAGATTCTTCAAACATAATTCTGTTCAATTATAGAAAACACATTTTAAGTTTAGTAAAATAAGGAAGAAATGAAAATAGAGATTTACTATTAGATATGTTAAAGATATGTGCTATAGCATAACTTTTCTGGAAGAACTGAGTCTTTTAAAAGCCAAGAAAAAAACTTGAAATACATGTAAAAAAAAAAAAAACCAACACCCATACATATAAAAAAACTTGAAATATAATATTCAATTAATATGCCAAATACCATTCAGCACTTGGAACATTTGAAATTTTATATATATATATATAAATTATGTATATTTATATATATATTATGTATATAAATTATAATATATATTACTTTAGTTACTTCTAAAAATTATAAAATAAAGTATGAGAAAATATTACTTCCATATACACATTAGGAAACTAGAGAAGTGAAGCTGAATGACTCGTTCCAGGTCTGAGGAACTGTTTTACTATCTGTTCTCCATTATGACATGTTTCTATCCTTTAAACTGTGTTTGTTTTTCAAGACATGGTTTCTCTGTGTAGCCTTGGCTGTCCTGGAACTCACTCTGTAGACCAGGCTGGTCTTGAAAAGATTCCCCTGCCTCTGCCTCCCGAGTGCTGGGATTATAGGTGTGTGCCACCACCATCTAGCTACTCCTTTAAACTTTTATCAAAGATAGAATAACACAAAAACAAAATACTGGCTGATACCAGGATTAAAAGGGCACCTCCTGAGTAGTTCCAGGTTCTTCTGCTCCAGATCAAAGAAGTGCACAGAGCCATGTAGATAGGTGTGGGGCGTTTACCCATCAACCCCACAGCTCCCCAGAGTTTTCTTGAGTGTGAGCAGCAGGAAATATTAGATAGAAGGATTTATAGCGGAGAATCTTGCGGAGATAAACAGATAGAAAATAAAGGACAGCCTCAAGAGGGCCTGGAACCTATTCCAACGGGCCCCGACTATCTCTGCCCCAGGGTTTTTATAGAAACGCCAAGGGGTGGAGCAAAAGACCTCCTCCCCAGCACAGCCAAGTGCAGACCATCTCAGACACCTGCACTCAGGCCCGTGGTCCTAATCATCCTCTATGCAGACCTGCTGGGTAAAGCCACGAGGAACCTGAGAACGGGCTCCCACAGATAAGAGCAAGAAAAGCAACAGAACTTAAGTAAAGACATACTTCAAGGATGAAGCAGGCTGGAGAGGGAGAAAGTGTAGCAGCTCCATTGCCTAACTTCACAGAGGCTTAGGGCTGTCTGCCTCATTTGCAGAGAGGAACCCAGGGCATGCTCTATCTGTTGCACACAGTTCTACATACTACTTCATTCATGGCATGTCTCATTAACATCTTAACTTTCAGCATCATGAGCCATAGGTTGTTTGCTGTGGGATGGTCTGTATGTCAAATCTGTTGCTCTGATTGGTCAACAAATAAAACACTGATTGGCCAATGGCCAGGCAGGAAGTATAAGTGGGACTAACAGAGAGGAGAATTGAGAGAACAGGAAGGTGGGGGGGAGACACTGCCAGTGGCCACCATGACAAGCAGCATGTGAAGATGCCGGTAAGCCACAAGCCACGTGGCAAGGTATAGATTTATAGAAATGGATTAATTTAAGATGTAAGAACTAGATAGCTAGAAGCCTGAGCCATTAGGCCAAACAGTTTAAACAATATAAGTCTCTGTGTTTACTTGGTTGGGTCTGAGCAGCTGTGGGACTGGCAGGTGACAGAGATTTGTCCTGACTATGGGACAGGCAGGAAAACTCTAGCTACAGTTGCTCTCTACACTTCTTGAGTGCCTCTGAGCCAGGAACAATGATTTGAGGTGACTCTAGCTGGCCTTAGCAGAAGAGGCCATTACTGCCTTCCTCCTTGCCAGCTTTATAAGGTTTTGTGTGCTGTTTATGGACCTCACTCACTGCCCATTCTCTTGCTTCAGAAGTATAGAGTCAAAGAGTTCAATGAAGTTTGCTCTCAAACTCACCAGTCTTCCCTCCCTCTCTTCCTGTTTGCCACTTTATTGAAACAATCACTTAATTTCTTTCTAGCTGATGCTTTTAGTTATTTACTTCTATTTCTCTGGAGAAGCTGCCATGTGTACCTGAAGAAATCTCTGAATAGGAAGCTGCAATTAATTGATGGGAACCAGTAAACTACTTCTAATTATAGCCTACCACTTACTGTTCTCACTGCCCTATGCAACAGCCCAGAAGGGAGGCAGCTCAGAGCAGAGTGAGCAATGCCCAGTCCTAAATAAAGGGACAACTCATAAGAAGCCCTTACATCCCTTACAAAGATTAGTGTCATGTAGACAACTTGACACACTTTAACACATCTGATAACTATGGCTTTTCAAATATTTTCTAATTCTCTTAGTTATCCATATTAAGTTAAAATTAGTTCACTACTCACTAATTAGTCACTCAATCAAGGGAGATTCTTACTGTCCTATATGCTGAGCCCCACTCTCAGGTTTAAGTTTATAGAAGTGGATGGCAATGATCCCATATGGAGAACTTTCATTTTAGTGAAAAAAATCAATACACAAATAATACAGTTTTGGTATTGAAAACTACTATGAGGAAAACTAAAGCTGAGAAAGGTTTTAAAAATAATGTTTTTTAAGCTCTTACCTAAAGTCTGTATGCATTTTTATTTAGCAATATAATTTCTGTATAAAATAAAGATATCCCTAATCTTCACAATAAAGACATCTTTTCCAAGAACAAGAAAAATAGTAACAAGCACAATATGAAAGTCATTTCATCTTTAAGTAAAGATAGATTTAAATAAAGCAGTAAGGAAGAGCTCTCTGACAACTGATATTTGAATAGAGACTTAAATAAGTAAGATACAAGCCATGTAAAACACTTGACAATGTTCTGAGGGCAAGGAACAGACAGAGAAAAAAAGCCTGAGTGAGAATGAGCATGGTGTAATTAACAAAGAAGGGCCAGTTTGGACACAGAAAGATAAACCGGGCAAAGCGACAGGAGCAGAAGTCAGAGGAACAGACAAGGGCTCTCATGCTGTATCTTCAGGCTCTGTGAAACTGCTGCGTTTTATTCTAAGCATCTGTACAGTTCCTAGAGGCGACTGACCAAGACACATAACCATTTAGTTAACAGCATACCCTGTGCTACTGACCATCCTAAGAGATTTAAGGCAGACCTCCAAGGGAAATGTCAGGACTCAGAAAACACTAAGTTCCAGCCTCAGAACAGTTAATCAGACATTCCACTGCCTTTCTGTGGAAAGCACAGTCACAGAGCAGCCTCTGTCCTAACCAACATTCCTAAGAGAAGTTCCTAAAACCTTCCTTCCAGAGGAGTCCGACGCCATATCCAGGGGGAAGAAATGGTACACAGGGAGGCCAAGAGAACTCGAAGGGCACAGACCATGCTGTGTTCCTCATGCTCATGCGCATAGACGACAGCCTTTTATTCAGTCATGTAACATTACAGCTATCCACTTCTTTATCAAGCAGCAGTTCTTGAGGTCTTCATCTCCAAAGGCTCCCACAACAGGTAAAACTTTGATTAAATATTTACTATGTTTCAACCTTTTGTTATAGGGGTGTGGTCCATGGGCCTTGTGTGGTGGTATTCTAATTGTACTGAAATGTGATTTTGATTGTATGTTAATAAATAAAGTTGCCCGGGGGTCAGGGCTATTAGAGCCATAGACAGAGTGTGGCGGTGGTGGCACACACCTTTAATCCCATAGATCTCTGTGTGTTCAGGGATACAGCCAGCATTGGAGACATATGCCTTTAAGACCTAGGGGGCTGTACATTCAGACAGTGACGAGGCAGTCACGTGTTTGGGTTTACAACCAATGAGAAGGCAGAATGACTATGAAACGACTTACACACAGGAAATAGCTCTCTTTCGGGAAGCTGAGACACCAAGGAGGAAGGGTGAGATTTTAGCTCTGAGCTCTGACCTCTCGGCTTTCTCTTTTACATTGGTTCTGTGTTTCTTATTTAATAAGATGGTTGGTTACATCTACAGCCTTGCAATGAATGAGAAACAAAAACCTATTTTCCTCTCCTATAACCACAGCGTTTTATTAATGTATAAAATAAACAGATACCCTTCTACATAGACAAAACTCATTGTATCAATTAATAATGGAAAATAAGGCAAACATGAACAGTGATTATGCTAACTTAACAGAAAATAAAACATTAAAGTTGTCAGACTAGAGCAAGATATAATTTTACCTATCTGATTTCTTATGTGCAATTTATCATTATCATAAATGTACTATTTAATTTAAAATTTTCAATTACAAAATGGTTCAAGAGAATAATGTAACTATTTTATAAATATATTTTAACACCATGTTCAATAACATATTTATTCTTTTTTTTTTGTTGTTTTGAGATAGGGTCTCACTATGTAGGCCTGTCTGTCTGGAACTCACTATTGAGCAGGCGGGCCTCACACTTGCCATCATCCTTCTGCATCTTCTTCTTGAATAAAAGATTACAAGTATATGCCACCACACCCAGCAACATATTTATTCTTCAAGTGAGCAATTTATTACTTTACCCTTATCTCTGTATTTTTATTTGCCATATATAAATATTCAGAGAACAAATTAAAATTAACATTTTTAGTAGATTCAGAATTCATTGTTTTTACTGAAAGTCTCAACACAATGAAAACATAATAATGTTTAATTAAAATAAGTGCTTATTGAATTTTTATAATTAAAGACAGGTAATGAAATACATTAAAGTTAAATCTTAAAAAGTTAAAATTTGAAAAGGAAATATTGCACAGATCAGGATGAGAACCCCACAATAAATCTAGGATTATATTTTTCAATTAAAATTAAGCTTAAAAAGGAAAATGAAGTGTTTATTAGTAATGTTTTCAAAGATCAGAGTCATTTTAAAAACAAAACCCAAACTAACCAAGTTAACATACTATATAAGGGCAAATATTCTGACGGAATTAATCAATAAATACAGAAAAGCTGTACATGCCAAGTTTTGTGTATGAAAAATAAATAATTTTTAATAATTTTTTCTCCAGATAAGTTTACTTTTAAAAATAATTAACATATCCTTATTTCTTTAGTAACTGACATTTTTTCTCAAAATTTATACACTATATATAGAAATATTAGAATGAAATACATCTAACCTTGTAATTTTGCTTCGATTCCATCTTTGTTCAATCCAGATACAAAACCTGTGAAGTCATAAAACTTTATTTAAAAAATCAGAGTGTATTTAATCAGTCTTTATAGGTTCAATTTAAACTTCACATAAAGAAGAGCATCTATATTTCATATATATTAATAACAGTCTAATGAGCTCAAAGAGGCTTAACTATTCATGCAACGCAACCACTATTTTGAAATCTTTTCAATATCAACTGGCTATATTTTGTTTTTTAAAATGGTATTAAGTAATCAGAAATACAATATTTCAACAAAAACTACTATGTAGAGTCAGCTTTAAAGATCTATTTTTATTATTTTAATTATGTGCATGTGGATTTGTGTAGGGACAAATGCACTTGAGGCAGGTGTACATAGTCAAAATTTGTAAATGATCTATTTTTCTATCCACAAAATAGTTGATTAAACTGTGGTATATTGATACAATCTGGGGTTGCACTATAATAACAAAATTATTACTAATAGACTCAATTTTATGAAGCAACCTCATGAATACTATGAATTTAAAGGAACTGAAGACACACTGGGCAGTGGTGGCGCACACCTTTAATCCCAGCACTCAGGAGCAGAGGCAGGCGGATCTCTGAGTTCGAGGCCAGCCTGGTCTACAGAGCGAGTTCCAGGACAGGCTCAAAAAAAAAAAAAGAAGAAGGAGGAGGAGGAGGAGGGAAAGTGAAGAAAAGAACAAATACTTCCATTTACCTCAGGTTCAAGATCCAATGAAACACAAGGGGACTTGTGGAAAACCTTCTATATACTGAACTGGATTGTGATTATATGTGGGTGTCTGTGTCTATATGTGTATATTTAATTGACTTTTATACCTAAGATTTGTGCAATTTACTGTGATCATGCAATATAAAAATTCTCTATAAAAATAAATTACTCATGAGAAGAAACAAGTGCAAATTAAGAATAAATGACACTGGTAAGAAGATACAGTGTATACCGCAGGGTTTATGTGAATGCAGTACACTCAACCACTGTTGACAGCTATGTACGCCATTAGGGGCAGCAACCTAGCAACAGCTATTACATACATAAGATGCATGTACCTTCTGACCGGGAAACTTCATTTCTAAGAATTTAGCATGCAAATGGGTTTGCACAGGTGAAAACACATCGCTGATACCAGCAGATCATTTTTAGGATGAGCATGCGCATCAAGTGAACTGCTTAGAGATGACCTGGGGCTGGTTAAGAGATGGCTGCTCTTGCAGAGGGTCTGGTTTGGGTCCCAGCACGCAGGTCAGCAGTTCACAATGGCCTGAACCCTTGCTGCAGGGGATCTGATGCTCTCTTCTGGGCTCTGTGGGCACCTGCACTCCCGTGTGCACACACCCATGCCCCACACACAGACATAAAATAATATGCAGATAAAAGAGAGTATTATTAGCTACTTTTCAAACCTTACAAGTCAGTGTGGAAGTTCCTCAAAAAACAAAGGGGCTAGAGAGTTGTCTCTTCAGTTAAGAATGCTTGCTGGCCAGGAGGTGGTGACACACACCTTTAATCCCAGCACTCGGAGGCAGAGGCAGGTGGATCTCTGTGAGTTCAAAGCCAGCTGGGGCTACAGAGTGAGTTACAGGACACCCAGAGTTACACAGAGAAACTCCTGTCTCAAAAATCAAAACAAGAACAAATCAAAATAACAACAACAACAAAAGAATGCTTGCTGTTCAGTCACGAAACTGGAATTTGGATCCTGGTATCTACCTAACAAGCTGAGCATCCTATACATGCTCATAAACACAGCTCCAAGAGAGGTGGGAACAGGAAGATGACTGGGGCTGAGAAAGCATGAGCTGCAGGTTCAGTTACAGACCCTACCCCGAAGGAGTACAAAGAGTGACGGAGGAGGCCATCTGACCGCTCTTCAGCTTCCACTCACGAGACAGGTGCACTCATCCCTACCCACCTATACATGTGCACTCACACAGACACATAGACAGACATATGTAGACAGACGAATGGATAAAGAAAGCATGGTAATCTATACACTGGATTTTTCCAGCCATGAAGGAAAATGAAATCATGACATTGGCAGGAAAATGAATGGAACTGGAGATCATTATGTTAAGTGAAATAAGCCAAACTCAGAAAGACAAAGACCACATCTGATACCATGTATGTAATCCAGATTTAAGTGTGTGTATGTGTGAAGAGAGTAGACTATGAGAAGGAGAGCTTTTAAGAATGATGGGAGAAGGTAATGGATCAGTGACATGAAGCAGAAGGCAGGACCATTTGTGGGGATCTAGAGGTCCAGTCATGGGGGCTGTGGAGGTAGAGAGGGCAGAAGGAGGGAGAAAAGCAAGAACACAATGACAGAAAAGCATGACAATGTCATAGTGAAGCCCATCACTTTCTATGCTGGCCTAAAAATTAATCAATCAGAAAGTTTCCAGGACATATTAGGGAAAACTAGAAAAACAGTGCAGAACAGCAGAACAGTAGCAGTTAAAGTACACTCAAAGATGACGGCAGTGGCACGCAGCTCTACATGTCGAGTGGCTAAGGCAGGAGATTTCTGTGATTCATGGTTTGCCAGGCTACATAGCAAGAACTTATCTCTTTAAAAAATGTTCATAACAATTTTGATACTCTTGCCTCCAAAAAGTGAATTCCTTAATTCCTCTCCCCTTCATGTGGCTAGGAGTACTAACTTGTTTTTAAAATAAGTGATAATGTGTGACCATGGTTACAAATAAGGAAATGCAGTGTTTTATTCAGTCAGTCTCTTATATTATTCATCCTGCAGGAAGAGAGATGCAGGAAAGTCCACACTGAACAAACTAAGCCTCCAAACAGGAGCTCTAGGAGACAGCCTTCTTGGATGAGAATCCTCAGGCCTGCCGTAGCCTTCATATAACTTCCGCCTTCAACAACATGTTGACAACACTCAAGAGACTGACCCAGAGCTACTGGCTGACTCTTGGCTTCATAGACTGCACGAGAGAATAAATGTTGGCTGTTCCAAGATATTATGTTTTAAGTAATTTGTTGGAAAACTAATACAACAGAACATTGTTTGCATTAAAAATGGAAAATAAAATTACACCTTATTTGCTTTTATTATTTGCTTTGTGTTCTTATAAATTGAAAAATGAACAGCCACAAATTTAGAATAAGAGAGCAGCTAAATGATAACATGAACAAGATTCAAAACTATAAAGCTTTAACTTACTTTAAATTAGTTTAGGTACTTAAGGTTTTTTTTTTTTCGTTGAGTCTATTTTTAACAGTGTTCATTTAAAAATATCAAAGGACTAGGTGTAGAGCAGGCAGTGTGTTCTCATTTTTGTACACTCTTGCCTCTGAATACATTGGTGACTGGTACTATTTTTCCTGTTGCTTATTAGTTTCTGTAAACTATTCTGTAACAGTATAAATACAAATCCCACTGGTTAGAAAAAAAAATCACTATATTTCCAGGTCAGAGTAACAAACCATAATGAGATGGGTTTTTCAGAGCTCTGATATACAGCAGGGTTGATCGGATCCAGTCCAGAGCAATGCTCACATCTGTGATGGTGTGCAGTACTATCTCTGCATTTAAATGGTCAATAAGATGTCTGTGCAAACTAATGGGGAAAAAACTCTGTGTTACTAATGTGAATTTCAAGAACATAAATCTTATTTTCTAAACTTTAATAATATATAGTATATTAGTTGCTACTTTAATAATTCATGAAAAGTAATTTTAAAAAATATGAGAGAAAAATCTTAAAGTCAGTTCAACATCTTAAAAATTTGAGATTTCTCCTTACTTCATAGTTCTAGAAGATACATTTTTGTATAAGAAAGTCAGAACAGTGATGGTAGTGCAGATAATGCCCTATCTTCCCCAAAGAGGAGTGCTTATGACATACTGAAAACAATCCCAGCAGTCATATTCTCTCGTTATAAAACAAAAGTTTAAGGTGTGAAAATATTTCTCTTACTAAAAGTGAGTAATTACAAAATTAATACTCATAAATTATGATAGTGATAATTAGTAAAGGACTTTACAACAAAGATATGTACTATTGTGTGCTAACGACTGTTACTTATTTGTCAGCGTTATTTACCAGGTACAAGAAAACACGAGATACAACGGAACCCACTCTAAGAGTTGTTACCAGGGAGGGGAAGGGTGGAGGTGGGTGGGCCTACCTCAAAGAAAGGAGCAGAGAGGGAGAGAGTGGGGATCGAGGAGCGCCTGCGTTTACGGTCACCTTGGGCTTACATAGCTACGCCATGCATGTGGTAGATTACATGATTACGCTGTGTGCAGACTGTGTGACCACACTGCACATGGATTACGTAGGACGCGAGGCCCTGGAGTGACTAAGCATTCTGCCTGACTGCTGACAGCACAGGAGCAGTCATGTGACTCCAGAAGTGGCTAGGAGTAATACCAAGCACCATCACCAAGTAAAACTGTTGTCTTTAAATAAATCTATTTAATTCCTAAAATGACAAATGCCTTATAGTTAAATTGTTAGACTATTTCAAGAAAACAGCCTAAGAAAATCTCCAAACCAAACTTCCTTCCCACATATTAAGGAAAAAACAACAAGTAATATTAGTTTTTCTTTTTGAGTTGTTCTTTGTTACCTGCTTTCTACAGTGTCGTTGCAAGTTAACATCTGAATGTACTTCTCTCTCGTACTTAATCGGGTCATAATAACGGCAGTAGCTGTAGTGTCAAACTGGAATGTAACCAAAGCACAGAGATTAGCAGAGCCCAAACCACATTACTGGGGCAACCCTTTCCTCAGAACCTTAAGTTCACACTGAATGGTTCTTTGTCTTAAATAGTGGGCCAAACGGACTAAAATCTGCTTCTGAATTTTAATATTAACAAAAAGTTTCATTTAAAAAATTCTCAAGAGTATAACTGTAAATATCACTTTTGCTTCAATATAACATAATTTTGACGATGTTAATGTCAAATCTTCTAAACTGAATTAAAAACTTACGATTTAGTGTAGTTTCCATAAATGCTAGCTAGTTTTACGTCAACTTGACACAAGTTAAAGTCATCTGAGAGGAAGGAATCTCAGCTGGGAAAGTGCCTCCATCAGACTGGGCTGTAGGCAATCCTGCAGGGCATTTTCTTAATTGGTGATTGATGTAGAAGAATCTAGCCCATTTTGAGTGGGGCCATCCCAGGGCTGTGGCGGTCCTGGGTTCTATAAGGAAGCAGGCTGAGCAAACCAGTAAGCAGCACTCTCCACAGCCTCTGCATCAGCTCCTGCCTCCAGGATCCTGTCCTGCTGAGTTCCTGTCCTGACTCCTGATGATAGACCTTGATGTGGAATGTACCACAAATAAGTCCTTTCCTCACCAAGTTGCTTTTGGTCATGGTGTTTTATCACAGCAATAGTAACCCTAACTAGGACACCACATAATTTGATATATTTAATTTATCCTTTAAAATTAAAAACTTGTGTGACATAACATACTTTGAAAATGATATTTTCCTGAATTTTCTCTTAGTATCTAAATGAATGACTCCCTCATTCAAACACTTGTCAGACATATTTTGAGAAAGATATGGGCTGACTTTTAATTGTAACATTAGTGCTACAACCCTGGGATGTTACATGTTCCGTAATGCACAACAACCCTTTTCAATGAAAAACTGCTCATCCAAAATGGCAAGACTAGACATGTGGCATATGCCAGCAATGTTAGTATTTAGGAGGCAAAAATAGAAAGATGGCAACTTCAAGTCCAGCCTAGGCTACATATAGAGATCCAGTTTCTAAAATAAACACACATAAAAATGACAAAACATATTTTTTCAGAATAAAAATAAGATGAAAAATCCCTTTAAAATTCCTTTACCAGTACACTTATTTACACATCCACCCTTTCATTCAGAGAGTAGTTGGAATGGGAAGAGTACATTATACTCTTATAATCTCAGTTAGTGAGTCTTGTCTATGTTTATTCCTCCATTAAAGCTGATTTTTAAATGACATTATTTTTTCAATCTCATTATAAAATGCAAATTAAAAACACACAAGCCCTTTCTTGGCTACATTTAGAATGTTCAAAAGAAAAGCCATTGTCCCTCACCTGAGGTCTGCCGGCTCTCCCGATCATCTGCAGAATGTCCGTCTCGCTGTACTCCTCAAACATGCCTCCACTGTAGTGCATTGTGGACTTTATCACTACCAGGTGAGCCGGCAGGTTCACTCCCATAGCCAGAGTACTGGTAGTGACTGCCAGAGTGAAGAATAATCAAGCCATATAACTTTATTATCCTGGGAAGACATTTTCTTATAAAAGATATAGTGATGTAAATGGAATAAAACCTTTAAGAAATTTAGAAAAAGGAATAGAGGACTTTATAACCTAAAATAATAGTGTACCTTAAAAATAAAATAGCTAATAAGATCTTTTCAAAGTGTACTAAGTTGAATGAAATGATAAAGAATTAAACTTTGCCAAAGAATTTAGTATAATACATATATTCACAATTCTTTTTTAGTTCTTGAAGAAATGAATCAGAATACTTAAGCTTTTTTTCTCTTAAAAATAAATTTCCAAAATACTTTAATATACACAAGAACTATATTTTACTTACAAAGAACCGGGAGATCTCCAGAAGTAAAGAGTCCTTCAACCAGTTTCCTATCTGAGAGCTCCATCCCAGCATGGTGGTAACCAACACCACACACCAAGACATCTACAGCAGGGATACACCACTGTCAGCCATCGCTACCCAGGATGATGACCAACACCACACACCAAGACATCT